TGTCACAAAAGTCGAGAGAGGTAACAGAAGAGTGATTCACAGATGTAAAAGTGACAGACAAGCAAAAAAGGTAGAGGAAAAGGTGAGGTGAGTACTGTGAAAGTGGTGGAATATGACATAAAGTGGGGGTCATTTTAGTTTGAAGTCAGGAGTCAATTGCCGATTCATAAGCTTCGTTTGACGTATGAATATGCGTTGGTCAGGGTGCACCACGTGGAGGTAAGTTTATCGCACAGCAATCGATATGAAGGCATAAAAACGTACTAGTTGGGTTTTGGTGAATATTACTAGAGCAAAATTCCACCCTTTTGCTTACTGTGTTGTCTTTTATGTTTTCCTTAGAAATGCCTGAGAATAGAAACAATATTCTCATTATAATGAATAAGCTTAAATACACGTTTGTTTTATTACTTTCTTGGTAGACATTCGTTCTCGATTTATAAGCCGTCGATCTTCCGGAATGGACCAGCAAGACACCATCCACGAAGAGGATGAAAATATTTCCGAGTCTGCCTCTTCCAGTGATAGTGAGCAAAGTTGCAACAGCAGCAGTAGTAGCGATTCAAATCGAAGCAGTTCTATCTCTAATTCAATCGGAGAAGACAGAGATTGGAATTCAGTAGCTTCTGCCCCCTCTGAACTTGGAGAGTTAGATGCTCCTATTCCTTCAAAACACCCCCACTCCCACACACACTACCAACGCCCAAAGTCGTCATCAGTGAAAGGCTGTGATTTTCTTAGCACTCAGGATGGAAAACGCTCTGTGCGCCTAAAGTGTCATCGAACTGGAGGTCTGACTGTCATCTATCCCGAGGATTCCCTCTACTCAGCATTAAGACTCCTGGCACACTGTAAACTTCATCGTCTACCGGTATTCGATGACCCCGTGTGCGGGAGCGGAAATCCTCTCTTCGTTCTCACCCACAGATCTCTTCTGGCTTATCTCTATAAGAAACAGATTGACCTTCCCAGACCCAAGTATCTTCAGGTGAGTAAATACTGAAACGTTAAATAAGCCCTCCATTTAATTAGAACTGAAGACTGTAAATAGCGCGTTCTTAATTACAAGAACGATGGGTTAGAATAGACGGGTGCCTTAATCTCAACTTTTCCAATATTGTTTATGATTGTTATCGTAAAGCCTGCGTTAACGGTAAAAGTGATTTGAAACATTAAATTTTCATAAAGTTTCAAGATGTTTTACTCCTAGCTTTATTTGCATCAATTAGAAAATTTAAGAATTGTTTATGTACAAAGTATGTATTAAAAGCAAAATCGACAAATAAAAAGTCTTTATTGATGAAAATGGGTGTCCAGGAATTCACCTACTAATATTTTTGTATCAAGTCATACTATTGTGTGAAAGATTTTGAGTCATTTGAATTAAATTTGCAATTAATTTTGAGAAAGGCGATAAAAGTAACTTTCGTCGTCACTTTTTAGGGTGTGAAACCATGACAGATATTATCTCCTAGGTTCTATAACTTCTGTTGTCAAATCCTATCGCGAGATTCTGCCTCACATTTCTTGGCGATAAGAAAGACATATAAGTTAGTAATTGTAACCCTTAAACGTATACCGACTGATAACAAGTGAACTTCATTAAAAGTTTATTTATTTCAAATGGCAGGCATTTTGATAGTTATCATTAGCTCTTTAGTTGACTTCGGGCTTCACAGAAGGGAGGAACATTAAAGTGAGTAAAATTCGACAGGGTAAAAGAAGAGTGATTCACAGATTTAAAAGAGACAGACAGACACAAAAGAGTAAAGGCTAGATGAGTACTGTGGAAGGAGTCGAATATGACACACAGTGGGGTCAAGTTGGTTTGAAGTGAGAAGTCAACTGCCAGTCAATAGACTTTTTTGTCGTGTGAGTATACGTTGCCCAGGGTGCACCACGTGGAAGAAAGTCTATCGCACACCCCTCATTAAAAATTAGATTCAACTTAAAGTCATTGACAGGCAGCTGTAAAAAAGATATCCATTTATCTAATCAAATTACCTTTTGGTCAAAAAAGCTATCCAAATAGGTGAATATAACTTTTCTCACAAATGAAAATATTGGCAACCTTATTTTTCTTTTGGGAAATATTTCAAATTCAATTTCAAACTATGAACTTGAGTGAAAATAAGGAAAATAGATTTATGGTGTCTCTAGTTGACAGCTATAATGTTGTGTTCATATCAAAAATACGAATTTGACAGATTCGATTAATATCTTGCATATTTTGAATGTTTTGAACATATTTTTTTGCATTCTGAGAATATGCTCAACCCTTTGTCAAAAGGTTCTAGCTTTGAGAGTACAATTAATAAAGTATTTTCTCATCAAATTGTTGTGTAGCCTAAGTTTTGAATAATTGTTCAGGAATAATTGAACAACTCAGAGCATAAGAATACTTTTTAAGTCTTCCAATCGACGAGAAGATTTTTGAAACAAATTTCGTTCTGCTATTGCCTTTTATTGCTCCTTTAAGATATAAAAAGTGTCATACCCTTTTATTCCTAATCTAATCACGTAACTGCTAGAGGGGTGTGAAAAGAAACCGTCATAAAAGGGGGAGGGGGAGTGAGAGAGCTTTATTGTCAAATATNATAGTTGACATGGTTTCAATCCAGTAGAGTTAGCTGGAGTCAATTCAAGATGCACTCTAATGTTCGAGCACTAAATGCAATGCTACGTAAATAGAGGCAGAAGAACCTTACTGTCAAATATGCATTCATGTTCCAAATTGTTTTAGCAACAGTTTAAGAAATGGCCTTTGAAGCGAAGTCTTCTTCCAGATTTGACCTATTCACCTCTGAAATACCCTATTTATATTTCTTTAAATCTCACAGTGCCGCACCCAAATGTCTTATTCACTAATCATGTTTGATATATTGCATAAAGCAGAGCACGTGGTACTTGTCACCTTCCCTTACTTTATAACGTCTGAGAAAAATTTGTCCACTTTGTCATGGGGAAAAATTGATGCCTAACTGCCATCGTTGATTAATTGCAGGGCAGAGTAAATAGCCAATAGCTTATAACCAATTATAGTTCAAACTCCCATTAGCTAATTTTCTCTAAAAGATAAATCCCCAAAGTGGAAAGCAATGAAGTTGACAAAAAGTTTTATTTTAAATGTTTTTTGAGAAACTTTTGTTCCTGCTCAGTGGAACAGTCAATCAGACAAATTACATCATTGGGTATCATATTCGTTATCTCGGGGTGTGCGATAGACTTACCTCCACGTGGTGCACCCTGGGCAACGTATACTCATACGGCAAAAATGTCTATTAATCGGTAGTTGACTTCTGACTTCGAACTACCATGACCCCACTGTTTGACATATTCGACCACTTCCACAGTACTACATCACATTTTTTCTAAATTTTCAACCTTATTCTTTGAAACACTTATCTGTTCCCCCCCCCCTCGACTTTTTTCACTTTGATGTTCATTCCCATCTGTGAAGCCTGAAGTCAACTAAAGGGCTAATGATAACCATCAAAACGCCTGCCATTTGATATAAATAAATAAATATTCGTTATCTCCCCCCCCCCTCCCCCTTAATATTCAACAAGCGAGATAGTTTAATTGAGCATTTTAATCTAAACCCAGTTTATTGTTAATTAATTTTCTTGATTTATAAATACCGGTCCACCTGAGAGTGTGCAGCGCCATCTAGCTGTTATTAAATGGGATAGATTTTTTCGTACTTGAGTGAATAAAGGACAGCGGTGAATAAATTACGAAGTAACTGCTTCAGCGAAATACTGTGTGTATTTGACTGTTGCTAATTTCTCTAAGGTGCCGCTGAAAATATTATCAATCCATAATCCCTAATTTTAGGCGCAACTCAAAGAGGTTGGAGTGGGAACCTATAAAAACCTCTCCTTAGTTCTGCCTTCCACGAAACTTGTCGATGCTTTGGCCTTCTTTGAAAACGAAACCGTCTCGGCTCTTCCGGTGGTGGATTCCTACGCCAATCGACGCCTTCTTGATATCTTCGCCAAATTCGACGTCATTGTGAGCCAAATTTCTTTAAAAATAGCATTAATTTGTTTGCTTAAGTGAATAATTTCTGTTATGATTTTGGAAACTTTCTTTTCGCCTAAACAGCCTCTTTAACAGTCCATTGAACTCATGCCTAATTTAATCAATAATTTTTCAAACGGATATCTGTCAAATTAATATTTCGTGTTAAAATATTGATAGGGATAAGGAAAGAGGGATAGGTTATAATTAGTTTAAGTTTTATTGAAATTAATTAAAATTTTATTGAGCCCTATTTAAGCAGTGCGTTTTTCTTGCCTAACGTTACAAGAGTTTAAACTCATTTTTTGCTTACCAAATCGTGTTTTTTTTCTTTAAGCTACCTTTCTTTAATTGACTTAGTTGAACGCGATTTTAATACGTCGAATTTTTTCATTTGTTCTCCTAATTGGTGAGTTTCACACTAAACTCCATTTACTTGCCAATCTCAAAGACCGTGCCTTGCTCGACAACCTTACCTCTCTCCATACTGTTTGTGCTACATATCCTTTTCCCTGTCAACATCTGAGTTTCCCTCTATTTCCGTGTCCAGTTCGACATTGTGGAACCCAGGTAAAAGGGGTGGGAGATCATAATATTGCCAATGAACAATCCGTTTTCGTTGAAACAAGTCGTAATGAACCTGAAAAAAATTACCGGTGGAGCATAAACAACATCTACATTAGGGTATTTGGACGTGGAGGCAAATACGTCATCACCACCAACCCTGAGAAATGCCTATTTTGTCAGACTGAAATCGATTTTCTGGCCCATCACATCAACGCTTGTAGAATTCCCTCTCTGCTAGGAGAAATCCTATCTATCATGAATTGCCCCACTCTCCAATACTTAAAATGCCTTCGTCGTTGCCTTGGCTTGATGAACTGTTGTGAGAAATTTGTTCCAAACTGTCCTCAAAGCCTTCAGCCTCACTCGAGGCTGCTTAAAGATAATACGGCTCATTTAACCATAACTCCATAGCCTGAGCCAGTATTTGGTACACTGAAGCTTAAATTATTCAAAGCAATCAAGTTAAATCTTCTCTACTTCTAGTAGAACTCGAAGTATTCAAAAGACCGGTGCATCTGATGTAGCAGCTGAATCAATTCTGCAAAAGATTGTAAGTTGTGAAATTCAATCAGTATTCTTCATCTTGAAGAAGCTAACGTCTGCCGAGATAAGATACAATACATTTGGTTGAGAACTGTTCGCTATCTATTTAACAGTTAAACAACTTCGATGTATCTTGGAATCACGCCGATCACTATCATTACTACAATTCTCCTTGAGAAATTCACCATTTGGACTTCACCAATGCCACCCGATATATTGAAGGTCATAGTAATGTTATTGAGATGCAATGTTTCTTATTCACCAAAAGTCGGATCAAGAATTCGTGGAAATCACTTCAGTCTCGGACTCAGACCCCAAAGCATCTCCGACACCAGAAGATCAACGATCACTTAGCATAGATTTTCGCATCCCAGCATTCGTTCAAATACCAAGATGATTACGTAGAATTTCATCAGCAAGTCTCTTTGCTTTTGCTCGAATAGAGACCGTAAAGAAACTTTTACAACCACTGCATGACGGTCCTTTCAAAGTCCTTAAAAGTAAACCCGAATGCTTTGTTCTGGATTGTGACGGTACTAGGGACTCCATAAGTGTGGACAGATTAAATCCAGTCTACCATTCGTTTAATTCCCATTCTGTTTATTAGAACCCTTTCATTTCTGCACTTGTTCCCACAGTTAAAAACACCCATCTAATACTCTATTCCAGAAAGATCCTGTACGACCTTTCACTCTCGTCCTCAAGGTTCTCGCACTTCCGGTGTTGGAAGATTTCTCTTCCTCTTTCGACTGGTCGAATGTGCGCACTAACTAATTAGCAACTGTTTTCTTTTCTCCACCTTCTTATCATCCTGAAAACGCTCTAGAAGAGGATCATTATGGAGTGCTCGATGCCAACACAGTTAAACTAAGTTTTCTCATTTTAGAGAGCAAATGAAGTCGCGAGAGCCGAGACCTTTCCGCCAATCCACAGTCAATAGTCATTGAAGGGCTAGCGTACCCAAAATCACATTGAATAACTAGGCCTAGTGGCACTAATCAAGTCATCAAAACCGTAATAAGCGAATTCAAACCCTACGTTTAACTTCGGAAGCAATTTTCTACTTAGGAATTGAATTTTACCATTGGGATTGCTGTGGTTTAGTTGAGACAATCCGTTACAGTAGTCTTAAATTACATTGATATGTCTTTGGCTGTTTGCACTTTTTTGGACGATTAAACTTGGCAAGATGGTAATAAAGAAATCGCATGTCATTTATTTGATGTTGACAGTCAAAATGAGAAAGCAAAAAATGTTGACATTTCATTAGAATTGTAAGAAATTTAAAATATGTGCATTTTTCTCTTTGATCAATTTCAAGAAGTTTAATTTTAATCCGCAATAATTCATGAGCTTAACGTCCCTTCATAACCAATCAAATCATTTTAATACCATCAGTTGAATGTAGACCATGAGTTTTGGTCACAACTGCAATTGAATGAAAAATAGTGCAACAACGTCGTTTGAGCAATCGGTAAAATCGATAATGCGTCGGTTCAGGATCAACCGGAGCTGATCGATTGATCAATTCGCAATTAAATCAAAAATGAAATTTCAAAATTAAAAAATTAACCGAAATAACCACAGAAGTATCTTTTTTCCTTAAAAAGTACTTAATTCTAACAGTTAATATTATCAATTTATTAACATCTTATCTCAGCTCTCTCAACGCATAGGCACTTCACTTATTGACATTTGTTTCTAATAGAAGTCCATCAAATGTTATTGGAAGACATTTAATTATTTATTCAATTGCCTTAATTGCCAGATAAGACCATGTTTCCAATTAAACCGTAATTAACTAGCGCGAAACACCATTAATTCCCTTTAATGAACATAAAATTTCAGGGTATTAAAAAATTGCAAAAATTTTTGCTCATAAAATTTCTAACTGATCCGCTTGAATGATAAATTTTTGCGTTTATTTGGTACAATTTTGCCGTATTTACATAAAATGGAGTGAAAAGTTATAAAAAGTTTTTATTTCCGGTTTGCTTTCTCACGCTAAATTTGATCAAAGCTAATATTAGATTAAATAAATTTTTACTAATGGAATTAAATCATAGCTAAACTAAGGAAGTCATTTTAATTTTCTATTATGTTTTCAATGATAATTAAATAATTTCACACCTTGATACTGGAAATTAACTTTTTGACTGTAGTGAGCTGCAAAATTATTTGAATAAGTAATAATTTATAACAAGTTGAAAATGCCCTAAAATGAATTGTACATCCAAAGCTGTGACGCTGGTAGAGCTTGAGATGGTACATTAAGGTGTTCCAATAGATTTTAACTCACTAAAAGGGAAATGAAGATCGACTCTGTCAACCCCATTCCATCATGTGGAACCTCCCCCCCCCCTCTCTTCTCATTTTTATGCTTGAACTTAGTTCGCAAAGTCAGTCTTTAATTCAAAAAAGTAAAAGGTGGGCTCCATTTTATTGGAAGGAAGTGTGCTTTAACACTTCTATCACGTAGAGCGGATTAGAATTCTGTTGTCATCTTGTTAATGAATGCACACTTTGTTAATCTAGCTCTATCTAATATTACCCACCACACTCGCTCCTACGGTTAATGCTGTGTACATTAAGGGATACTCTACCTACTTTCTTCTCAAAGAAGGAGCTCGATTTTGACTACTTAACTTGAAAAAAGTATTAATTTTACGGATTTCCCAAGTAGACCTTTCTCAATATCCCCCTTAGGTTCATTGCCGTCCTCACTTCAACGATTCCTTGCAAAGTTTGCGATTTTTTGCTTGCATAAACCTCAACTTGTTTCTAATATATGAATAATAAGGAGTATTGGTTGCAAGATTATTCAAGAAGGTTGAATTATTGCTCAGACAATTCCTTAAGAAATTTATATAGTGAAACTGATTTTACATAGTTTTTGAGACCATAAAGTAGTGACGGTTGAATTAATCTTAATGAATCATTCATTCAAATACAATCCGAAAACTTCATATGCACAGTTAATCTACACACACACTCATGCTACTCATTAGAAATCAAGAAAAATTTTGGAAAATACGACTTCAGTACAAACCGCCTCTTCATATCATGCGCCTCTTTTTAGAATAGGACCTTACGTTGATGATTCACTTGGCATAAGATTATTGTTCCTAAGAGTCAACAATATTTTCTCTCCCTTTCAGACCCTTATTCTGGCTGGAAAGCATAGAAAGCCTGACATGACGGTTCAAGATGTGCTTGATATATGCAAGGTTAGTTTCAATCGATTTTATTTCCGCCCAATTCTTTTTGTTCAGATTTCCCACTTCTGTTGTCCATTAATATAGCACTCATTACTCTGGAGTCGGAGCTATTACGCTAATGTCGTCATTAAGTACAACTTCTGACTTTTAAAGTGGTTTAATAATCCATATGACTGTAGTAATTAAATGCTATATGTCTTAATGGCATCTAATCATTGGAGAGATTTCCCATTTGAAATATCATTCAAGCTCAAGCTAATTCAAATGAAAGTGATTCCTCTCCACCCACCTCCCCCCCCCCCCCCCCCCCCCCCCACCCTGATATTTCAATTAGCTGTTTCAAGGAAATTAAAATTAGAATGAAAACAAGAGTTCAATTCAAGGGAGGGGGGAGGGGTTGGTTTGATCCATTCATTATTCATTAGGAGATTGATAACATTAAAAGCAACTATAATGACAATAAGGTGCAACCCAGCAGACTGACCTCATTTTAAAATTAGGCCACACCTTGGAAGGTCGCCTTGGTTAGTGATTTAGAGAGACCTCAAAGGAGAAGCATTTTTAGAATGTCTCGGTAAAAGCAACTAAGAAAAGTGTGGTATCTGATTCAGAGAATGCAGATTGGGAAATACGGAGGTATTCACAGAGACTGCATCAAAAAAATGAATTGCGTGAATGGTAGATCAAAAATCGAAGTTAAATTTAATCAGTTCTCGAATGGAAATTGATGCTGTTGTAATACATTAGCGCCCATCTTTGTAAACACATCAATCGGGCGCTTTCTTTCCTCAGAAGTTGAATAATCATCAAGTGATATATTTCTTTAACTCCAAGTAAATATTTTTGTTTCTTTGTTTGCACTTAAATACCAGTATTTACACATTTGTGGATCCAAATTGCCGATAAATAGCCTAGTAAACCTTTTGCTTTTCACACGATAGAACTTCCACATTTGCGATTATTAATAACGTGCGTTTTTCCCCTCTTCTTTGTTTAAAGCAAATACACCGTGGAGTCATACCCATTCCAGAGGGACAAAACAAATTCGATGTGGAAATCTGCCTTACAACGGACACAATTCAGTTCGCGTTGAATAAACTCATGCGCACTGGGGTACGTTATTCTTGATTCAAACAAAATCTTTTTTCTTCCATTGATTCTATGGCCAAATCTGTTCAAGTCCTTTGTGAATTAACACTTCCCAACCTATAATGAATGGAAATATTGTCAATTAAAAACAAGAAGCGTAGTTATTTATTTTTCTCCATTGTTTTGACTTCCCACGCACAAATTACTGACTGCGCAAATCTCAAAGGGGTCCTCTGTAATGTAATTCTGAGAAATTGCATCTCACTTTTCCTTAAACGTGGGAGAAGGGTCAAATTACCTTCTTGCACATTTTTGGCCAGTTGCGATGCGTAGTTTTTAGTTCGTACTTTTTTCAAAGTAAATAAAGTGATGTCACCAATCATCCTTAAAGTCATAAATAGCTTACCGGTGACAGGTGGTGGGTTTGCCTTAGAGTTTGAGCTTTGATGAAAGGATTGTGAAATACGGTCTGTGGGGTTTGGAAAATATTGATTGAAAAATATGCGATACCGTCACCCAAATATATTCTAATATTTTTACTTTCAACCGACTGTGCTGATGTCCTTCTCTTAATTTGCGAAGTCCAGCTCGCAAAAGCACACACTACCGTAAAAGGTTTAAGTTAGGCCGTAAACAATAAAAATCTTCTATATTACGATAAGTCTGATCAAAAAAGCTACTTTTTTTCTTTAGAGTTCTTTTGTGTCTCTTCTTATTTAGTGTATTTTTTTCTCATTCGTACCTTTGCAGTATCATCGGCTGATAATCGTCGACAATCACACTAACTGTCGTGTTGAAGGTGTGGTTAGTATCTCCGACCTTCTCTACTACATGGTCCTTCGACCCTCTCCACGCGGTCCTATCGCATCGGTTAACGCTTTGGATAACAAATCCACCACGGAGACTAATTCTACGTACGAAGAAGGGACCAATCCTGATTGGCTATTTTACTCCGAACAAGATCCAAACGCAATGGGACGAAACCCTTGCGTGCCAATGGTTAAAGGACTTCCTGATCGCATTGACTCTAATGGAAAAGAGACGAAAAGGACAACGACCAGACCAACAAAGCAAGAGATTACACGAATCCGAATGATTTCGGAAAGCTCGGTGACAACTGGAAGTACTACTTCATCGAGGTCAACCTCAAGTTCTTCTACAACTTCAAGTAGTTCCACATACTCCTCATCGTCAAGCTCCTCTCTTAACTCCTCCTCAACGACCTCGACCTCATCTAGGTCAAGGTCTAGCTCCCCAACTGCTGTTGATCGGTCTAATTCTAGGGGGCTGCCTGAGAGAGCCTATGTAGTCGATAATCGGAAAGGAAGTGATGGAAAATCCCAGACGAAAACCCTGAGCTCATAATCCCCCCCCCCTACCACCCTCCTACTCCATATGCCTATTCACATATTCTTCTGCTGAAGCCTTTCATTATCAAAAGCCTACTTTACACCTCCTTCGCACCAACAGAACAACCAATCCCTTCTTATTGGTCTTTTGTCTATTTTTCCAGAGAATGAGAAATTCTAATTGATGGAACCCACCCCACCTGCCCTCCTATACATACATATTGCACGTGTGTAAAGACAGAAACTACAAACGAATTTTTACCAAGTAATAATAAACTGGCGTTTATAGCAACACTGACTGAGGGAATTGAAATATGGAGTGCGACTTAATTTTAGCTAAATGCGCACCACTCATTAAATAATGCGTAAATTTACTACTATCGACATTCACCTTACTTTGGAAAATGCTTACAGACTATCAAGCGCGGAAAAAATTGGGCTGTCTATGATGTATAGATATTTAATTTGCCATACTACTTAATTTAGTTTAAGTAGGAAGTTATATTATTAAGCTTTGCGCTCCATTGAACCCACTGGTAGGATGTCCAGTGTTGAATAGAGCGCAAATATTTCCTTAAACATTAAATTCCAGTCATCTCTCTGCTACAAAAAATTTCGCCTTTTAAATGGAAAAGAAAGGAAGAATTTGTTGCAGATTGCAACAATGTATATATATGTTTATTTTTCCAGGTTGAATAATTGTTTGGAGACCACCCGTACATAAAACGGTCATACATAAATGCATTTAGGCGATATATACACCAGCAACCGGCAATCCTAAAAAATGAAAGAAATAAGATGAGTCATTTCCCTGTTTATTGAAATATCCACAAATATTTACAGATAAAATAAGACTGAATATGAGCTAAGGGAAAAATAAGGAGATTCTAAATTTTAGGACTAAAAAAGGTTTATTTTCCATTATCAACACTACGCACCGCGAAAATTTATGGGAAGCAAAAATACATCAAATAAGCGCAAGTCCAAAAATGCTGGAAGAGAGGGGAAGAAAAAGACGATAAGAGCAATATGGAGAAATTATTCTTCCCGCATTTGAGTTTCGAATTCGATTCCGACAACAATCAATAACTCTTTAACACCCCGGTTCATTTTTTTGAAAGATTCACCAAAACGCACTCACACCTGTCCCACAGTAAAAAAATGTCGACGACGTGATTAGGTTTGTTGGTAGGGTGTAGTCTTATTGAACACGTTTCAAACGGCAATAGCGCGCCTTCTGTTACGAGCCTAGTGTCAATGAAGCTTATTTTGTAGGAGAAGCGTACGGTGCTGAGGAGGTTAAGGGATTAAATATGTCACTATTCTTTCTTGAACTGCAACAAATGCTTAGTTGCTTATTGACCGATATTAAAAAGGATATGTCTTGCCCAATTATCTCATTATTTCTTTCATTGCAAAAAATTTTAATAAAGCAGAAATTAACTAGAGAAAAATTTTAAAAAATCAGAGCTCCGTAAACCGCGCTCACTCAGGACAAACACTCCAATCTTTGCTAATTAAGTTATCATCAGGTAGTGGAGAAATAGAGATTGACTATTTGCATTACAATTCGCGTAGAAAGTTAGCTTTAAGATTGAAATTCGCAAATTTGCCCTTTTATTTTCCGAAGTAATCGTTGCATTAAAAGGCACGCGATCTACATCATCAAAAGCATATTATGAGTACGGCAATTTGAAAGAAGGGAGTTGAGTGAATGAGACCATTTTGTCGGCCAATCATTTCATAATTTAAACACGTAAACACAATCATTCCATGTTTATATTAGAATGCACTCACTGCCTCAACATCAACACGGTAACAACACAAGTTTGTCAAAATGCCCATCCGGAACTTCCCCCACCCAAAATGAACTTGCGTAAGACCCAGCTTGAGGGAGGCAAATTGACTGTAGCCTTAAAATGACATCCACCTGCAAATAGTCCCACAGTCCAAAATTATCAACAGCAGCGTTGGCCTAATAAATATGCAATAAAGGTGTAATAATTGCAAATCATTCACTTCTTCTTTACTTATCGAATTTACGACCATTTTATTTACCCTCATTTAAGAATCTAAATGATATATGCTACTGACGATATGAATAGTAGACCACCATTCTTTTTCAGAACAAACACCGCATATTTATTGGAATAACAAGCAAAGGAACATATATATATATATAAGCCCATACAAACAAACAGAAACATTAACAATGCACAACACAATGATGCAGGTAGAGGTGTGACAAACGTAAATTTTAAAATGGGTAGGGCGAGAGAGAGAGAGGAGTGTGTGTGCAATGGTTGGTATCCATTGAGATGCGAGGATCAAAAAGTGTAGATTGGTGATAGACGCTCACTGTTGCGTAGATAGTGAGTGATACTGATGTAGAGCAGGATTGAATAGTAGCATATTGACGGCTATTGGAGAGTGAAGGAGAGTGTGACATTGTATGATGTAAAAACTACGACTTAAATAACATCAGTAGGTAAGGACTTACTGTCTAATTAACGACTCTAGTATCTGAGGCATCAGATACGGCCGAGTGGTCGTTGGAAGTGCTGTTTTTATTACTATTTCCAGAATTCTGCCATCCATTCAATGCTGAACTATTATCATCACATTTAGCTGGCAAACCATGTTCGGGAACCACATTGGAGTTGGAGAAAGCAAGACGTAGAATGAAAGGAATACGATCATGGTTTGAGGGGACAACACTGTGGTTGCAGATCATCAAAGCGTCACATGCTTCCTCCGTAGTATTGAATTCGAGCATCCCAGAGGTATTTCGATCACCCTTCTTGAAGAAGTTCACCGACCTACAAAGTACGCAAATAACACTTTGTCAATTCACCGTGTACACGGAGGCAACCTGCTTGCCAGAGAGTCACCTAGTAAATAAAACCAAAGCATGCACCCAAATAATCCCAATTAATTTAGTGCAAACAAGAGATAATTAAGCAAAGTCTTACATTGAGGGCCACAAAGTGGGTGTACGTCTATGAAATAGTACCTACCAATGGTATCTATAGCTAAGAGAGACAAAGGAAAGTAAACGACAAGAAAGTCAATAAGATACCCCACTGTAGGGGGAATTCGCAGAGGCTATTTTTTGTTCCCCGAAATTGAGTGCATGTAGCACACTTCAAACTCTAGATAACCATGCATTTACCAGGACAGCATTTCCACAATTGCTCGGATGACAGGAGAGAGATAGAGAGAAGTCAGACGCCAACCTTCCCCACAAAAAGTTTGCAGCAAATACTGCTTAAGTGGAGCTGTGCCAAGACAATCACTCTTAGATATTTAACCACAAGGACTACTAACCTTGAAATACCATAATTTAGAGTGGGGGGGGGAGGTGGGGAGGGGGATTAATGCTAGCGAATTGGAGTGGAAAAAAATTGACCGGAAACAAGGATAAACAAATCATGTGCCGCAAGTTGCATAGGTATTCAAGGTTAAATACGCACAAATATATATATATAGTAAAAAATTCTACCTACATGGGTAAATAGAAAGACTAACAAATGGGGAAAAACCGTCATTTTAGGAAAGAAGAAATGACGACGTTACGAACGTCAAGCTCTGTCCTGTCTACCATTTTTGGGTGTTAAACAATTGTCACCACGTGTTTGTTGGCCTTTTCCATGTACAGATTGGCCAACTTGCCAAATGCCAATATTTCCACTTGACCATTTATTGCTCTTATCCCATAATTATTGAAATAACGATTAATCCTTAGCTTGTCTATGCACTTTTATGAGCACAGTTCGTGTTGAAATGAAATAAATTTGCACTCAAGCAAAGGAAATTTATGTTACCTTTTTGGTTGAGATTCCGGCTTGTGGAGTGTGAGAATTGACGACAAGAGATCAAGAATAACTTAGAATTCAAAAATTCATCAAAATCTTATCGTGTCTAACCATGCATTTGAATTTACCCTTAAAGAGCTGAGAGTAAATTATTTCACGAGAAACAAAGAGAAACTCCTATAATGGCTCAAGAACGATTGATGTTGATGAAAAGGGAAACATTGAATATTTCCTCACCAAGCCACCCACAGATACTCTTCTGGTTTCACGAGTTAAAGAATAACACTATGACCCAGAAGTAGATTAAACTTTTACTAAATGGCTTGACGAGGGTGAAAGTGTTTTCGAGAAATATCTCGCTAATATCCGAGGTGATGGAAAAGAGAGGCTGTTGTTAAGGAGGTGAGAAAAGAATAAAAATGGAAAAATTAAAGATTTCATCCCTCCAAGAACTACATCAAGTTTTGCCTCCGACGAAAATATTGTGATATTTTCTGAGCTATTTGGTAAAGCGCTTTCATTGCCTTTCTCTCGTGAAAAAAAACTCAATGAAGATCGGACAGAGCTTCCGAATTATTTGACATTTCTGCCATTTTAAAAACAAGCTATTTTAGCGTGCCTCTTGTCAATGTGAGGTTTATTGTCAAGTCCAAAGAATGCTTGAAACAAGTGACCAAATCACACACACACACACACACACACACACACACTAGAGGATATTGTGTCATCGAATGCACAACATATGATACCAAGTGACAATGATATGGATAAACAGAATTCTAGTAAGGACAAATATATCAACCGAATTTCTGGGGAAACTATGTGCCAAAATGTTTCCACTTTCCTAACTCCATAATAATCCCTCTGTTCTCCACTCCTTTGCACCTTTCGCTTCTTACTTACTCCGACGTTGTTTTAGCTCACAACCAAATCCTAAATTCAGGATTTTTAACGAATTGCAGCAGCATTTGGACTGGTTTTTACCTCGCAAATGCCATGGTTACAACAACTTGTAAGGCAAACTAGGACAGGGAAAGGGTGTGCGGAACGAAGCCCGCGGTCAGAACGACGTACGTCAGCCAAAAGGTTGAGTCAACTATCAGTCAGACAACCAGAGGAAGGACGTGGAGTGGAATGAAAACTCGAGGAAGAGTCTCCACGAGCAAAAAAAACAGAAAGGAAGAAGGGAATAAAATGAGGCCCTGTGGTATAGTAATGACTATGATAATCATTGATTCGAAGCCTGAATCTGTCGAGAAGGCAGAGAATATAGGGACCTTCCTGTAACATTAATAGAAAACGCAGTCTTCTGTTTCAGGCATCCGAAGCGAATGCCAAGAAACGAGAAAAAATGGTGGGGGAACAATAGCAGAAAATCATATCAATTTTATTTTTGCTTAAATCAATTCATTTGGATTGAGTACTAACTTGTATTTGCATGCATGCGTTCAGAATGTAACAGAAGTAGAGTTAATAGCACGCGTTCATGGTAAGGGCGCGTTAAGTTGAACATTTCTGTAATACACGGAAACTGAAACAGCAACACTGGGTGTGCGAATTTATCAACCACACTGGTTAAAACTGGTCTAAATTCTAATAGCAACACCCAAATGTCCCCATCGCAATGGCCCTCTCAAGATGCGTGCTGGCAAACTCCCAATAAAAGCTACCTATCTCCTCCTTATTCCAAGGACCCCCTCAAATCGACCATTATATATAGCACCCCGACTTACCCAGATATAAACAGACGCCGAGTTGTAAACAATAAAGGGAATAAGATCAATAAAATATCACAATTCTAAACACCGGCACCCCCGCCCCCCACCCTCACCCATAGACGGTGGATTCATAAGCCCATGACCCCAGGGCCTTAGATTAGTTGCTGACAGCTGCAACCCTGTACACTCTACTATTGCTGGATGTGCTGGGGGAAGCTATGGCCAGATCAACAAATAATAGTAATTAAAGGTTAATGGCACTGCATATAAATCGAAGAGAGGGAGAGAGAGAAGTAAGAGAGCCTACATGGCCTTGATGATGAAAAACACTTTTATGTTATGTTTGGAATAACAAAAAAAGGCGAGTGGGTTGAGGATTTTGTCGTCATTAGTTACACATATAAAGAGAAAATAATTAGCATAATCAAATGATAGAATGGGAAGGGCGGGCTGGAGAGAGAATTCTGACAGATTGGCAGTGGGACTTTTGCAATCACCTCTTTTAAGAAGACCACTGATGAGGTTAGAAAATAGAATGAGGCTAAAAATGAAGCTACACTTTAAAAGCGGAAAGCGTCAATTTTTCAACGAGGCTATGAAAAACAGAAGTGAGCACAAAGATTCCTTTTTAAATGTACGAAGAAAAAAAAATCTTCCATATCGTTGGGAAAAGCACTAGCCACAGCGATCGGGACAATCGTGAAAGAGTTTGCAGAAATAGCAGCAAAGGCTAGCCTATTGTTCAGCAGGACTGCTGACAGTGTGTGAACCTCTTGCAAAATATTCAGGAACTTAAGCACCCTAAAACGAAAGCAATGCAAAGTGTAGAAGAGAATAAACGACGGTACCATTTTTCATCAGATCAACCCGTTTTCATCTCCCCGACCTGACAGTTACCCAAACCATTCAAGAGTTCAAATTGTATGGAGATTTTATCGCTGAGGTCAAGCGGATTTCCATCAAATATGGGAGCAATAAGTTGATAAGAGATTTATCCTAAAACTGGAATTCCGACCAGCACTTAAAGCTTCCTCCCATTTCGAATTCTCTCCCCATCGCCCAATTTGCAAATTTTGTTCTCTTATGACACACACAAAAACTCGTTAGATCGCGTTCAATGATCACAGTGCCCACCTCAACTTCTATAAATTGACAAAGATGCCACATAATGAAAGCGGATCAATCATCAAGTCACAAACTGATAAAGCGCCTTATCTAGTTAACGCCAAAGTGAGCACGAAAAGTCGTACAAATCAATTTTCTCAATTGACCACGATAAGATAGGTTAAATGAAAAAGAGAAACACAAATCGACCCAATTCAACTGAACACACAATTCTTCCAATTCCTTGACGCTACAGGGGAACCGACCCATTTTTCCACCACCCACTTGGCTATATGATTTTTGAAGTGATTCAAGGAAGCAAATTGGAATTTTCATGCAAGAACAAGAATACTAATAATATAAATTCACCAGACTTTGAAAATTTGGAAGCTAGGTTATCCAAACATTCCCGAGTGGAGGCAAACCTAAGTTCTAGATTTTCTCACTTTTATTGCTTACGTTTTCTTTTTGGATATTGAATTAAAATTCCCCATACATAGTTGAAAGCTGCAAAACTTTAGTTTCAATGAGAACTGAACAAATCCCAAAAAGATGGAAATGATTTGCTATTCAGCTTTCTCTTTCCTTTTAAATTTCGATTACTTACATTTCAAAGAGACCAGGTCACCTTGTGGTGCTGTAAAAATACCACTTATTTTAGAAAGCCCTCTACCTTCAAACAACACCAATAAAATGTTTGGGGCTATTAACATGACGAAATTACGGTATTCTTATGCGAAAGTCAGCATTTTGCCCTGTCTCGACATTTTGGCCCAGCTTGGGTGACTCATTGTTTGCACCTTTAAACTGCTTAAATTAACCTCTACTTTTCCTGAGTGCGGGGTGTGCGAGACTTACCTCCACGTGGTGCATCCTGGGCAACGTATATTCATAAGGCAAAAAAGTCTATTAACTGGCAGTTAATTTCTCACTTCAAACTACCTCACTATATGTCATATTCGAATATTTCCACGATACCTCACCTTTTTTTCTACCTTTGTGTTTGTCTCTTACATCTTTGAAACACTCTCTTCCCCCCCCCCCCCCCCCCCCGACTTTTTTCAATTTGATGTTCCTTCCCCTCTGTGAAGTCTGAAGTCAGCTCCAGGGCTAATGATAACCATCAAAACGCCTGCCATTTGATATAAATACTTTTCCTGAGTGATGTCGGAAGTGAAATTCAACTTAAGCATCTGTTGACGCATTGGCATGTGAGGGAAGGAAGAACGAGAGTGGCATAGAAATAATGAGTTTTGGCGCACATCTTTTCAGGAAAAATCATCTACTGGGAGGGCTGGATATATCAATTCGCAATAATAATCCGACCAAATTCCCATTTGCATGATGCTAGCCAGACAGCATGACTTGGTCGGCATTGTAAGCACATAACCCGAGGGCAAAAAACAATCCCGAAAATAAAATAAATCATCACGACTGAATAGGAGAAAACGATTAACAAATGAGAGAGAGCTAAATGTAAAAACGCAAGACAGTCTCTACTGCTATATATGCGAGAATGGGATAATTAAGCACAGTTCCGAAACACTAAATTTGGGAGCGACCACACGCTTCAATCCTTCCGATGCAGGAATAGGGAAAAAAACGGTATTCATCCAATCGACTCCAAAGCTTAATTTCAATTAAATGGGGCTAGGATTGAGCCCCATTCACAAAGGTCGTTAGCACGAGAGGCATAAAACAATACACGAATTTAAATTTCACTGAAAGACGATACAACTACCAGCAATTAATGGTTCAGTAAATTAAACAAAAAAACTTCAATGTAGGTCTACCGGCAGTGGGCCTTCCTCCAACTAATAAACCATCAAATCCAAGGTTGAGTGAATAGCAAAAGCACCCAATCGTTTTTAAATTCACAAGACAAGGCAAACGATTTACTACCCAGACGAATGTCAAATGACCGATTTCAAAAATGCAGACAAAAACAAACCCTCGCCTTCAAGAAAAAATACCTGCATCTCCTACGCAGGCGCCTTTATATGATGAATGAAGGTCGTATGAATAAAGCGAAGCCAATCGCAACCTAGACAATACTTAAGCCGATGATTTTGGAACCATTGTCTCCTAATGTCGTAATCTACCTTAGCTAAATGGCAATCTCGATTCGACCTTTTCAACAATGTCTGAGACAACGAACTATACACACCTATATCCAAATCACTTCATCAATACGCGAATCCGGTTAAATGAGCCAAAAAATGCCACACTAGTTATAAAAGGAATTGCAAAGATTTGGGAGTATTGTCAATTTAAAAAAAACATCAATGCAAATAAAGAAGCACTTGCAAACTATTACCTTAGATTAGCAAAAGTACAATTTGGATTTGGCTTAAAAAGATTAATACTAAGTGTACCGATATCCGTGCATTAATTTAAATAAGTATTAACAATTGTCAGTGTGACAGAAGGTAGGTTCTTTTCACAAAATATGACTTCCAGAAGCACTTTGCTTTGATGAACTCTCCGGAGTCAGCAATAACATTCGACATTTCAGAAATCGTATGCCTGTTGCCATAGTGTGCAGATTTAGCACAAGGCATTTTGTGAAATATTTAAGATTATGGATAGGAAATTTCCGGTACTTGCAAAATTCGCTCATACTCCATTCATTCCACCATAGATTCTACTGACGAAATATTACGGTTATAAACGGTACTGCTGCATTAGCCCTTAAGTCAACCGAAAAGAAAGTATAAGGACATTCGGCACAAGCGATGAATTGTTTTCGTGGTAAAATCAATGCACTTCTACAACTCTATTCTCAGCGCTCATAAAATAATCGGAATTCCAGGAGCGGTTTTCTTATTACACCATGAAGACTATTATTACTGGGCAGTTGTGAATCGTATTGATAGTGTTGATAATAACAAGTTAATGAACAAACAACAGATACCGTTCCTATCAAACACAATTATATTAAATTTCGGGGTGTGCGATAGACTTACCTCTATGTGGTGCAACCTGAGCAACCTATACTCATACGACAAAAAGTCTATAAACCAGTACCATGGTCCCACTGTACGTCATATTCCACCATTTCCACAGTACTCATCCTACTTTTATCGCCACATTCGTGTCTGCCTCTTTTACATCTGTTAATCACTCTTCTGGTAAACCCCCCCCCCTCTCGGAATGCTGTGACTTTAATGTTCCTCGCCTCTGTGAAGCCCGAAGTCAACTAAAGGCCTAATGATAACTATCGTAAAGCTTGTCATTTGATATAAATAAGCACTGAAATTCTCTCCCAAAAAGCGGTGATAAAGTGGATGTATGCATACCCCAAGAAAGCACATAAAATCGGATTCTGAAATACTGATCTATCATAAGGCATCGGCTTCTTTATGTTTTAAAGTAAACATAAAATTCATCAACGGGCATAAATTCGAAAAGGTTAAGATATCCTATAAATCGGAAAAAGAAGAATGTCGAATTGACCATTTTTATGAATGCAGACAAATGAACACGAATTGTTAGCCCTATCTCTAAACTTTTATCTCTTAGGCTTCCCACTTCACTTTGCTTGGGATCAAATAGCATACCTCCTCTCAATTGCATATAACTTTCTCTCTCATAGCAAAGGAGTTGTGGTGTAAGGATTTAAAGATTGCATTATCAGTATGAACCAATGCCAACTAGGTGATATGACAATAGCTACAGACAAAAAAGTCTTGACAACCTTCTCGTGTTGACCTTTAGACACTTTCAGTGAGACATGATTTTTTTGTTCAAAGGGACTGTCATTTGCAGGGTTTGAAAATTGTAACAATTTGACAGGAGCTATTTCATTTACAGATATTCGGCGCCGCCACAAAACTACAACAACCATTACATTTCATAATTTCTTTCAAAAAAAAGGAAGATTTTGAATATGAATGTGAAGTTAGTGGTGCTAATAAATTAGAAAATGATTAGCTCTCGTGAAATGAGCTACCTTTCAAGCCATCGCCTTTCTAAGCATCGCATCAGAACGCACCCTATCCAAGTTCGGGATCACGCGATCGGTACCCACAGAGTGCACATCAATATGCAGGCTTTAAACAACTAGAACAAATCAATGAAATAAAAGTCCATGATTAACTAGCTGGTGGAACTGTGTCATAGAAAATTCTGGATTAGAAGTCTATTAAAGATGAAGACCAGCTATTGACTGACAATTATGCAAAAATTTAATAAGCCTGCTCTATAAAATTGCTGTGGGGAAAAACTGATTCTGCGAACTTGGAAATTGTTATTAACTACACCTCATCGTTCATCAATTAATAAAATTAGTTTATGAAAAAAGCTGGGGGGGGGGGAGGAGTTTAAACAATTTCCACGCGGTGAGATTCGGACAGGCAATTAAGCAGGCGCAGAGCAGGAAAGGGAAGAAGGACATGCCAAAAAATAAAGAATTCAAAGAGGTGGAAATATGTCTACGCACCCCAGCACATAAGGATAGGCAAAAAAGGGAGGATTAGAAATAGAACTACGGGAAGAGGACTTTAAAATTAGAATTGTCACATGGAGAAAAAGTCAGTAGGCAAAAAACTGCAGTAGTTTACTTTGCTTCATAAAATTCTTTACAAGCTGCATTATTACTGAACGAAATTACGCGCGGCCACTTCTACTATCATTCGATAGCATGGAAGAACAGAAATCGGTAAATCTAACTCAAATGAGAGGATTATTTAATACAGATGCCTTTTTTAAAATTCCAATGAAGCATTGAAAATGTGTGCTAACAAACGTTTTATTGATAGTCCTATGAGTGACAAATACAGGGATTTGAAAGATGCGCGTATACGAGGCGCGTATTTGCCAATTTATTGCCATTTTAAAATACGCCAATAAATACAAAGGAAGAGGGAGAGAGAGAGAGTTAAATAGCAATTAATGAATCCAAATAAAAATAAGGTGCTAAAAAAGTGAAGGAGCTTAGTCAATCAGCAATATACACGAGAAAGAAATTATCCTACCCTAGTATCTGCGAAAAAGTCAAAATTTTGCATTTTGTTTTCCTATTTAGCCTGGAAGTGTCAACTGTCATCCACTTTTATTTAAGCTCGAAATGCCAACTGTTAACTTTTAGCATACGATTTGAACTACTGAAAGCATATCACACATACGGTTTTCCATATGCTGTTTGGCTGGGCATTTATAACCGAGTCATCTCCGGGTCAAACCCAAAGGGCAAAGGGTTATCTATTCGCCCTTTGGATATGTGGTGGGATTATAAGTTGAAGGTCATTTGCAACACTAATAAACCCAGTTATAAACCCACATAAAAACAACAGATCAGTAAAAGAGAGCCAAAAATCGAAAGGTGTTTGGGTAAATTTCCTTTGGTCAGAGAAAACACGAGTGAAAAAGAAAATTGGAAACAGTGGGTCAATGAATGGTGAGGAATAAAGGTGATAACACGATGTGGAATTCGAGTGATTAATTAAGTTAGATAATTTGCGTAGTTATGCAAATTACCAGTCTATTTCATCTCCTTGAATAGAGTGATTTAATGTAGAGAAATCACTTTAAAGTCAACTGCACAGTTAGAAGACATTCGAGCCAACTTAGAGAGCGCTATTCGTAACAGTTTCAGTCACAAATCTGAACTGTTTCATGACATACAAGATTGCGAAAATATAAAGATCTTGAACCCAACTTATCATAATTTTCCTTCAATGGATTTCAAGGCTCGTCTAAGTATGAAGAATTAACAAAGGCAAAGGAAACACAGGAAATGTCATACTGAAAGCTGGGTTTGTTCTCATACAAGTTCTAAATTTATTCCAACTTTCTGATATAAAAGAAAAAGTATTAAAAACACACTCAGGAGTAGCTACCTCAACTTTAGCACGAAATAAAAGAAGTATCCAACCGATCAAATGGATATATTAGCGGGAGGGGGGGGGGTGAAGAACAAGGAGCAAACAATCAAAAGTCATAAAAATCTATTGCAACAAACTGCGGCATTTTATCCTAGAAGTTAGAGCGATTCTCAACTTAAATCAAATTTACTTGGAATATGAATCTCAAAATAAATTTCTGACTCTCACGTTATCTACCCTCCCTCACTGCTTCTCGTGGATGTACTACTGCGACCATCGTACTTTCATAGACACGGGCTTATCCCTGTCTAAACACAACTAAACCGAGAGGAGGATCGATCTTATCGCGAAATTCATATGAAAGGGAGAGAGAGGGAGAGCAAATGAGAAAAAGCCAAATATGAAGAAAACAAGAGCACAGACTAAAATGAGAATGTGAGATGAAACGACGATGGTAGAATGAGGGACGTACGTGGGGACTGGAGCCCCAGCATGGGCGAAAACATTTTGCAATTGGGAGGTAGTGACACCAGGAGGTGAGTTCCAGAAATGCAGCATTCGACAGGGCGGGTAGACGCGATTTTTCGCGGCACTACCGTGGGTGTAGCGATTATTGCGAGAGTTGGTAAAGTCCTTGAAAGAGGGGGTGCCGTCGAGTAGGGTGAAGGGTTGAGTGACTTCGACTATGTGCTGTTGGCGACTCAGTTGACCCTGTGTGGGAGGAATGCAAGAGAAGGGTGACAAGTGAAAGAACGAACATGAATGATTGACTGACAGAGGTGTGACTGTAGATGATTGACTGCGTTAACGGTGTCGTGACTATTATTCACATTACCACAAATGCGTTTTCATTGAGTGTCCATTGAAAAGACTTAACGATATCTTAGACGAAACAAGATGTTTCATCTTATGGATGCGTTCTCGAGAAGAAAAGATATGAAGAACATACTTAGAAGAATCCTGTATGAAATTTCGTAACTAGGCCCCGATTCTCAGTCTTAGTTCACTATTCGGACATTTGTAAACACGTGATGTAGGTTCAATCATTCGACCTGAACAAAAAGGTTTTCATGAAATGGGGCAACAAGACGCCAATCAAAAGCTGTCAACCACGCGAGGAATGGAAGAGAAGAAATATGCGAGACTTCATCCCTTAAATCTTCTGTTTCTAAATTGAAATAACTGTGCAGTTAACTTCTTATTGAAATAGTCATGTAAATAAATTAACCTAAGAACTTTTCAAAACCTAAAGTTCAAGCCTTCACTAAACCCATTTGAGAAAGCGCTTTCCAATGCTGGTCTTAAATTAGGAGGTGGAGAGGGTGCTAGGGGAGGGGGGGGGTCACCGTGATGAAAAATTTGAACTTTGCCAAACCTATCCGGTGCGTCCGTTTGTTCAGAAGATTGGGTGAGCACCGATGAGCATAAAACCCGCGACCTCTGACTTCGCAGACATGCACGTTAATCACTGCTCCACCAGCTAATGTGCTTAACCAATACCTTATTGAGCGTATCAAGTTAACCTTAACTTCTGCTTCACTTATGTACGATTCGCTTCGCGGTCGGCAAACGGCTTACCAACAACTTTCCCACACAATTCAACACCTGTGTTCTATTTCCGCTCCAAAAAATTTGGCATGAGGACACAACCCCGCATACCCTCTGTTCTTGATGGCAGAACCTTTAGTAGTTCCATAAATTTAAACTAGTTCCCAATAAAATGAAAAGCGGTAGAAATCATCCACTTAGTCGTACTTCAAAATGCACGTTTATTGCCGCTATTGCACCAACCGCTATTGATCAGCAACCTTATTCGGTGGAACTTTCCAAAAATAAGAAAATGGAAAGTGCAAGAGGCATTGCCATTAAAATTAAAACCCCCTTGATAAATAGCCTGAAGCGAAAGAAAACAAAAGAGTCCACCTGATCGAAAGTCAACTTAAACATGAGGAAAGAGCAAAAAACCATCAAAATTAGAACGTTCCAACCTGCCTTGGGTACTTAGGTATATTTGGTGACAGTAAAATTGTGCATTTAACCGGGTAAATAATCTGTAATTATATCGAGAAATCAACCAATCGAGATAGAGATACGTCTCATTGAAAGTTTGTCGCATCATTGACATATATCATCTTATTCGGTCATTCGATTGAAATGGAATATTTTTTGGCAGCCAGCAAACCCTTTAATAGCTTTGGAAATGATACCTTTCTTAAAGCACGTTGATTTTGTGGTGATGTTAATACTTTAGACGTTGGTAGAGTCCAAAATCACGTATTCTACGACCGCTTACTGGAATACATGACAAGCCGCACTGGTTGAAACTATTCAAAAGGAGAGTAACGGAACATGCAATTCTCCTAAGAAAGGCTTTAAAATGATATTTCACAAGCACAAACTCGTTTTGATGACCTTCGGAGCTAAAACGGAAGTGTATAGGGCCTGTTCGTTCAAATCCTACTTTAGAGCTATGCATTCACATCAGCACCTTTCGGGTGAATACAAATATCGAATACATGGCGTCTCGATCGAAGGTATTGAGGAAAAATTACTATTAACAATAAAGCATCAACGAAGCACACATAGATTACCTACTCAATAGTATTGTACCCCCGCCCCCGCACCCCTCCCCTCAGAGATGATTAGAGAAATCGTTCAATAACAAGGTAAAATGACTGTTATCGAGGCTAATAATGAATATTTTGAAAGGCTGATTGCACAGCACACTTACACTAAGTTTGTTGCCTGCAAAAGTGATCATAGGAAGGTTTGCGAGAGCACTGTTTGCATTGGCAATCCCATGTAGCTCCACCATAGCCGTGCCTTCCTTTGAACGGAGGAATTTGATAGGCCCAACGTCGCCATAGAGACAGAAGAGGTTAAACAATCTAAAGAAAATAAACACAAGCTCGGAGAAGTAAATATAGGATAGTTATTGTGCAAGAACAATTAGGTAATAAGCTAAATCAATGTAAATAAAACACAGTGCAAAGATAAGAAATAAAAAATAATTTAAAGTTATTAATCAAATAAAGTGAGAGACATTGCTTGAACGAAGCAACTGTAACTTGAATCAAACAACAGATTTGTTGTGCGGTTGATTTTTGAGGCAAAAAGCTATAAATATCACGAACGTTAAGAAATTACGCAGTGAGCAATACTCCTTCAGAAATGAGCTACTAAATGCCTCTAGAACTTAAAATAAAATTAAACTACGTTCCATATTCCATTGGTTTATTTCCCTGTGACTTTATCCAGATTCGTTCCTTTAATAAGGAAAACAACATAAAATTGCATTAACCCAAAGACCAGAATAAGTAAGCATTGGAGTTTTTCAACAGTAAAGAAACGATCACCCGATGGGGAATGAAAAAAGCTAGATGGAAATAATATTCCACTTCAAAATACTTCGATGTTATAGAATGTGCGGTCCAGTCAGCTTCCCCAAAGACTGTCGCAGGAAACTGTAATGACTACTCTTAACCAGCAGAAGATACAAATTTGACCTAACATTAGCAAATTGAATGAATGATGAAGTAGTCAATGTGATCGTCCAGACTTCACACCCAGTAATGCGATGTCCCATTTAATTCTGGTTAACAAGAGGTAGTAGAATAGCTTCGATACTACTCCAATGAGCTACTAATTGATCAAATAGCTTTGACAGTTTTTAGAAGTCCAAATTACGAAATAAAAACAGGCATAATGAAAGGAAGCGCTTACCTATCACAGTTAGCATAATTCATATTCAAATTGTAGACCATGATCACAGGGCTGGCAGTCCGATCGTTGACATCAGGATATCCGTAAGAATAGATACTTTGAGGTGAGGTTTGTTGATGTTGTTGAGAGGCAACTACAGCAAGAGCATTTAAGACAGAATTAGGCGACAGCGTAAGACCACCGGGAATAAATGCATCAGGTCGTTTGCTAGCATCCCCATCGAATTTCCCCAGTAAAGAAGCGGCTGAAGTACCGGAGTGTCGTCCGTGATTATTGACTTCATCCAAATTTGGATTTTCGTAATCCCAACTGTCGAGGCAGTTTCGTACGACCTTGAGACGAGTCTGCTTAGCATACTCAACTTTGATCGAACAGCAACCTGAGTAGATATCAGCTCCGTTAATATGGCGTTTAGTTTCGCGAGCATCTTCGATTGATTCGAACTCGACCATTGCTTGAACACCAGTTTTACGGAAAATGACTATTCTTAAGACTTTGCCATGGCGACTTGTAACCTGGTGAATTATGTCAACTGTTATAGGATATTGAGCATTGTAAATTGTGAGAAGGAGAATGTTGTTCTCTTGTGGAGAAGACCGATCATTTTGCATCGCACTATCATCTAACCTACCACGAATTGTTAATCGCTTAGATGTACTATATGATAAACGTAGACGTTGGTTTCCAACCATGAATGGAAAATTTTCGGATCTAAGTTAATGAAAATAGAAACATTAATTGTAGAACGACGAAATAACTATGTTGAAGCAAAACAAAATTTACCTTTGGACAACTCGGTCTGCATCATTTTGGTCTTTGAATTCTATCAGCGACTGTCTTTTATTAGGCAGCATAATTATTTCAACGATATGACCAAATCTATCAAAAAGCTTCTCTAAGTCAATCTCTAGAGTATGCTCTGGTAAGTCAGTAATATGAACGACAGGTGAAGGCTCAATGTCGCCCCAATCGTCAGGGCGATTTCGTTTGCGACTCATGATAACGAAGTAATCAATCAACCACGCCAATTGAAATCTGCCGCTTACTTCAGCGATATCCTAATTGGCTGAATTATAGTCAAGGAAATAAATGAAGTGTCTTGGTTTTTTCTTTAAAACTAGTTTAAAATTTTTATTTTATCTTTAATATTTCAAAAATCTGACTTTAACTGATTTTTTGCATTTTTTAATTCAAATTCAAACTTTTATGTCAGTAATACCATTTATAAGTTACTAAGTACATGGATTATGAAGCGTTACATTTTAAAATTTTACACAACTTTAATTCAAATTTATTACACGTGGTAACGCAACATTACATCATCTATGCATTACATAAAATACTAGGGTTCTTCGCCTGATAATCTAAAGGAAGCAATAGAATTATGAATTTCGGATTCATGACTATCCTGAAAAGAAAAAAATTCGCCATTTGCCATTTTTGCCATGTTTACCAGAACAAAATACGGATAGATTGATATATTAATAGACCGAGTGGGGAAGATAGATTGGCAGATATGTATTTTGTTCAAATCAATGTAACTGACTTATTTTACATATGCGTTTTGGCCTGAATTAGATTTCTTAAGATTATCAATATCATTCTGTATATATATATATATATATATATAATGTTAAAAAATTATTTTGTGTTTGGTTATAGCGAGGTCTGTCTATTGGAAAACTGTCATAGAATGAGTTTGGCAACACTTTGATTCAATTTCTATAAAGGGAAAAAGGTAATAAGAAACTTTTTTTTCCTATCTGCTACACCTTCATGGAATTATGAGATGTTGGAGTGAGACATATCTAGTCAAATATCATTTTCAGTCATTTTTCTTCAAGCGCTCCAAGTAATGTTACCTATTAGTTGCTGCAGTGTTAATGTAAGCATCTATAAATATGAATTCTCAACTAATAAATAAATGTGTTATTGCTACGGCCTAGTATTAATTTAGTTCTACATTATTGAATTTGTCGTCACTAACATTGGTTCATTTCTGAGGACAGAAAACACATTTTGGCGTACTAGTTTCAAGAGATTGAACCCAAACAGTTCTCATTCAGTTTCGTAGTTACCGAAAGTCATGTTTATTTCTGAATAACAGAAATGATGTAGAGTGCGATTTCTTCTAAGGACAGCTGTTGGCTAGTGGTCACGAGAAGCCTATTGTCTTCTAAACATATTATATTTGAAAAGCCAATGATGCAGAGGACCGACAAAAATTTCCTTGACACTTTATTTTTGTTAAAATAACTTATGAAGGCCCTTAGAGTTCAGGTCACTTTTTGACAATCTTTTAATATATGGGAGTAACAATTTTGGTGTTACTAATGTCTCTTTACTAGTAAGTCTAAATCCATTAGAGCATATCAGTGGAAATGAAATAAAAAGGAGTTTGTTGGACACGTTATTGCTGTGTGCGTCATCGTATGCCTGCATGTCTGCTCGCCAGGATTGGGAGGTGCGGCCGTACAACTCTGTGTGCAGCGACTGTACAAACAGTGACCAATCATCAACCTCTGTTTAACCTAATCCCCCATCCTGATCATGAGTAGCTCCCTGCGCGTACACTTGATCCTGAATATACGTTCTGAATAAATGTGCTCCGTGCTACACGTCTGTTTCCTTTATAGCTGGGCTATAGCTTAGCTGGTTCTGAGAGTCTAGCTAGATGTTTGAGAATCTGCCATAGAGATTTCTGAGTCAGTCAGGCTTTAATAAAGTAGCAATCCGTTACAAGTTCATCTTTCAAGTTATTCGAACAAACATTGAATCTTAACCGAATTAGATTTTTGAATGTCTTGTTCACCTTTATCCGCACTGGAAGTTAGCTTTTAGTTCCTATGTTCAAAGTCTAATATTTTACCTGATAAAATATATGTTACTTCGCTTAATGTCTCCATATGCGAAAGGTGGCGATTATACCCCAAAGGATAACAATGGAATTTTTTCTCTGTTTAACTTTTTAATAATATTTTGAACTTATGGGGAACAATGTTAGTATGGCCGAAGCAAAGTAGCGCATGCGTATCCAAACATGGAGAAGCGCATGCGGATACGCCAAGGAGCAAAGGAGGACACGAATATGCAGAGACCCTTCGACAAATAAGTAACCAAAATCTTTGCTTTGTTGTCATTCCCGAAAGTGCATACAATGACTAAGCTCCCTGTCAGTCGCAACCAACCCAAACATACAACCCCGACGGTCAGGACACGACATAAACTTCACCCGAGTAAACGTATTCCACGTCATACGTCTGTTGGTAGCTTAGCTAATTTTAGGCACCATTCCAACCTAGAAGAACTTGCCAAAGAGATTAATGAGCGCGATTCAAATGTAGTGATTCGCGACAAGTTGTAGTGTTGGTGTAAAATTAAGGGTCATCCCAGTAGGCCTAACGTGGCTTTTATCCTGTCAATAAATCTACTCCCAAAATAGACCCACGAAATTAAGCTGAAAATTACTCTAAAAATTTTTGACTTGAGTAGATAATAGTGACTTCCAAATAAAAGACCAGGAGTTAAGTTTTACATCATCGAATAAACACTACGGAAAGAGAAAAAATCTAAAAGATTTGGTGAAGAAGTTGGCAATCGGAACCTTTCAGCACTGAAAGGGTGACACTCGAATTTTGACAAGGAGGACCTAATGTGGAGCGATAAGGAAGTTGGCAAGTTTTGTTCATTAATGAATCACAATGACATTAGATACCAATAGAAACATTGAATCAGGAATTAGGGAAACCCAAATTGTGCAGCAAATTTAACTCGAATTGTGCTTTGAGTAAATGTTTGTAGCTAAAAATTATTTTCATCCGTAAAAAGCATAACTAACTATCCATCCACAGTGCATCGGATTTCAAAGAGGTCTAAAAATTCTTTAAACTATTTAATAGGTTATCAAACCAAAGATTTGAGAATTCTATGGTCAAAAATTTAAAGGCTATTAAAGATGGTTAGATGATGACCAAACATAAAATATTCTCCCACTTTCACAGTACTCATCCTACCTTTTATCTACCTTTGTATCTGTCTCTCATACATCTGTAAATCACTCTTCTGATCACCACCCCTCGACTCCCTGTTACTTTGATGTTCCTTCCCCCTGTGAAGCCCGAAGTCAGCTAAATGGTTAATGGTAACTATCAAAACGCCTGCCATTTGAAATAAATAAATAATGGCCCCCATTACCATAAATAAAATCTTATCTACTGCTACTTAACAAGATTTATTGCCACTTGTCAATTTATGCGACTCGATTTATTAAATTAATGCTATTTTGGTGCCCACGATTTCATTCAATGTTGTGTACAAACTATCTAACTGCTCCCTTGCTAATTCGAACGAGAGTGAACAATAGCATAAGCAATTTTCCGAAAGACAATTACGATAATTTGGGGTGTGCGATAGACTTACTTTCACGTGGTGCATCCTGGACAATGTATACTCATACGACAAAAAAGATCTATTAACCGGCAGTTGACTTCTCACTTCAAACTACCATCACCCCACTGTATGTCCTATTGGACCACTTTCACAGTACTCACCTCACCTTATTTCTACCTTTGTGTCGGTCTCTTTTACATGTTTAAAACACCCTTCAAAACATCCTCCGAAATAGCTGTTTAGGGGTTAATAAAAATTATTGAAAACCGGACACAAGCACGTGCCAACTGAAATCAACTAAATGACATAATAGCGTGATTAAATTTTTCCGATAGTTGTTCAATTCTGGCATGAATTAAAGTTGAGTCAATTGCGCAACTACACTTTCAAACCACATACATTTTTATTCATCCGAAATTTGATTTTCCAAAGGATCCGATATGGAGTTCTTAATTTTGGCCCAATTTGAAATGAACTGGATGATTTATTAATTTTATTAGATCCTCTCGAGGTCCTTAAGCTTTTTTCCTAACCTTAATCAGGGATTAAATGATTCGGAAAAGTTTCGGTTCTCCTTTGAACTTTTGAACTGAGATTTGGGCCTGGAAATTAATTGCCATCAATCTGATGCGCATGACTAGTGTCACTTTCGTTGCAATTAGATTCTAATTTACTTTTAAGCGCATCTCAAGAGTAGTAAATTTAAATTGAACTGTTTATTTCCAGTCTTCGAGCAATCATCATATTATCCATTTTCGTTAATAATGAAACGTTATTGTTAGCAGTTTGGTTAGTAATAGTTGGCATGTTGCCATCTATCTGCCACATGATACCTCCGAATTGTGGGCGATATCAATTTTCTTTCCGTTTCGGTTTAAATTTTCAATTTGATATCACAATTAGTCAAATATGTGGCCTTGATTAATGTCTACATTTATTTATCATTACAAGGTCAGTTGGGGACAGTTAATAGCAACTTTAAAGCATGCTCCCATATTACTGAAGTTAAAACAAATTACTCGATGAAAAGTTAACAGCAAAACTCGGTGAAAGGTGACTAAGCATTCCACCGTCAGCAATCCTCACTTCACCGAAACGGGAGAAATAAAAAGAATGAAAGTGTGGATTTCGAACATGATCACTTAATATAGGAATACTGTCCAACATTAACATTAAAGTCACGTGATTTTAGTACACTTTAAAAAATATGTAAATTTCATTAATAATTATCGGCAAATTGCTGATTTGCTTCCACTCTTCCACAGTAGCGTTTACTCATTATAACCACAGTGATAAGGATTTCTTGACTAATCTCTGCGTTATCTATACCATGTCTTCGTATGTCTCTGTGACATGCATATTACTTAATGTTATTAGTTAAAATCAATAACATTCATCAAAATTGGATCTTGATTAGCTCATAGTAGGCATGATAACAACATACTCTAATACAGAGGCACCTCTCCAGTCCAATTCTAAAACATTGTCTGGATGTGCATAACATTCATATACCGTTGGCTTCATGAAAATATCGAATGACTGCTTTATTGGAATCAGAAATCATTTAACGTAGATATTTACAATTGGAATATTTGTTAAAAGTCCAGAAATTTTGCCGTGCCTGTCTGCAATGGCATTGCAAATAGCAGAAGTGAGTAATCTTCGTCCATAGGAGAAACGAACTCAGATGGTGTTCTGAAAGCGTAAGCCACGTAGCGGTTAGCGCACTCTCTACAATGTTAGAGGTCATTAATTCAATGCTCATCAACCCGGATTTAGTGAGCTGAATGGTTGATTTGACCGTTAAAATGTACCGAAATACCTGTTTTTCCATCAAGTAAGCTCCAGTGAGCTATTAGTCTCCCAAAGTGTGTGAGATTCCAAGAGTAAATAAAAGCGTTCTTTTTGAGGTGCACTCAAATAGCGTTAGAGGCCTCCTGAATAACCAAAAATTCCAAACTAATTAATATACGTTGACTACAGCGGCCTATGATTTTAGTGCTTTAATCAAAATCATGAATAATCAATGGCAGAATTAGTAGAAATGTAAACTCATTACTACAATTAATTCTATTTGTCTTTTAGGATGAAAATATTTCATTTTATCCAACAAAATTGGAACCGACTTTGGCAATCAAACCTCCCCCAATTTCAATGTAGGAAAATTGTAGAAAACTAAACGGTGAATACGACGACTCACGATCGTGATCAATCCTAGGAGACAGTTTAGGTGGAGGAATAATTGAGTCATGTAACAAACTTCTGGTTGGTTAGCACCAAATAAAGACCTAAATTTGGACTTAGTTATCACAACTAAAACAAGGTTTCTGCCTCATAAAAAGCCTTAGGCACATGAAGTGGAACGATCAGTTCAGGTTTATTATAGGAAGTATGGAGAGTAACTGACTTATTGGACGCGGAGGGTGGAGAGGGAGGGTGGGGGGGGGGGGGGGGGGGGGGGGGGGGGGAGATTGACTGAAGCTTTGAGGTCAATAACGAGTAAAAATCGTATTCCAACACTCCTTCTGTTGATCATTTGTTACCGACTCCAGGCAATTTCATATTGATGTAGTGGTGTTTAACATATATACAAGATGATAAGTGTTCAATTGGCAATAAGGCACGTGAGGCCAATTTTACCTCTCATCTTGAGCAGTCGAGTAGCTTTCTGAAGCACCTTTGATGAGAAACTCACATTCTACTACAATTTCCTAGAGCACTGCCAACAAATTCTTTCAATACCTCTATTAAATTGACGTGAATTTTGGATTATTGAGCTCCTGAACTATGAAAGTTTAATTCCACGTCGTCAATTAAAGTAGCTTCTTAGTAAAAATATACTCAAATTTTCAAATTTATTTCAGCATAGGATAAAGATGCCTGCACAAATTACGCCAATTCAGAAACGTCTTTAATGTCGCCGATGGTGACCATATTGGATTCTTCGAAAGCGATCTGACGGCGGTGGCCTAATGTAATCGATGACGACAATTTCTGGAAATCTAGGAAAATCCCCAATAAGAAATTCGTTATAATTTGGAGGTGGAGCGGAGCTCTCTTCGATAATTTGTGAAGGCAATTGTTCTTGATATGAAGTTGACGGCTGTTGAACCTGATTCTGCTGACCGTTCCTCTGTCTGTTATGCCTTCTATTAGTCATACGTCTTAAGAGAATTCTGAACTCAGCTCTGAGATTTCTAGCATTTCTATTTCTTCGATAACGATTAGAGAGAGGCTTCGTCACTGGAAATATCGTTTTTCGAGTTCTATGCGAATTTGACGGTCTAACCTCATTTAAAGTGTGCATCCTCTGAATAACAACGCTCGGAATTACTTCAACTTCATCTTCAGCATCGGAATAGGATGGTGGAAGAGCATTTCCAGATTTTGGAACTATCAAAGATTTATTTTTCCTCTTTGTAAAAAGCATTTTGATATTCTTTTGATTATGTATTTCAACCTGTTGCACGCTGGCATATGTAGGTGGACTTATTGGAAGTTCCAATGAAGAAATATCGATCCCGCTTCTCTGAGGATTTGGAATACTAGCTGATACCCTATAACGCAATTGTACAGGAAGACAGAAAACTAAATAGCGAAGACAAGTATTCCGAAGACGTACGTACTGTCGAGGTGAATACCTTCGAAGTACTCCAACATAGGCAAGGAGACAAAGAATAAGGATATTGAAAATACTAAAAACAACTGTGGTAATCAGGAACCAATTAATAGGCGGAGCATAACAAACTAAGTCAGCTGAGGACTCGTCAGCACTATATAGGGAATTTGAGAAAAACATCTGTTTGGTAGAATAGGTTGAACTCCTCGGACAGTTGACAACCCCATCACAGCTCAATCGATAATCAATGCAGAAAGCCATATATGGATGGGTAACTTTGTAGCCGAGGCTTTGAGTTTTTATTGCTGTTGTACATAACAGCCACCCTGGATGGAAGATTTTACTCAAACTAGACAACGTTCCATTAATTGGATTAAGTCGTTTGACATGTGAACCCATATTTTTGAAGGTATTCAAAAAGCATACGTACGTTGGGGTTAGCGAAATATCTAGATGCAGTGTCGAGGTTTTATTTTTTAGATTATGCATAAGAAACATGTAAATTAAGGTTTCATTTCTTGGCCAGTCTTTAGTGTCGAGGTAGACGTTTGATATCGGTGTAGATGATTTGGTTATTAGGAGATTGGAGACGATTTTTGAGCCACTTATGAAAACCAGATTTACAAACCCATCAGTTCTTGTTGTATTCAGCTCAAATCGTTTAATAAAAGTCGTAAGGGAATGATACTGTGGATGTGTTGGAAGGGTGAAAGCGTAATTACAGGCTTTAAGAAGTGTAGATTTGAAAGGCAAATTGGAATTGAGTAGAATGCCTTCGGAAGGCGTCTTAAGGGTATAAGCGGTTCCTTTTTGCATTGAACGAAGTTCACTTGTATGAACCGTACTACTTATCCCGAAACATGGTGGAATGCTAATTGAAACCGTCCGACCTGTGACTGAGTCTGCTAGAAGAAGAAGAAGGAGAAGAAGAGGAAGAACGAGAACACAAATTAAACTAGGATTGTCGCAAGAATGCGTTCTCATGATGGTCATTTATATGGTCAACGGAGTTTATGACATGTTTGAACGCATGATCAACAAAAATCAATGATCTACACGTGGTCATTATTGAACGCAATAGATAAATATGGAAATTCAAAATGTTTGGTCTAAAATTAATACTAATTCGGCAGATGATGACAGCGTTGTCCATCTTGAGTGCCAAAACTTATCACATGTCATTACCCTCTTTAAGTCACTTGATTGGCACTTTAGGATTAATTCTGATTCCCATGATTTACATCTGACCGACCGGAAATGAGAAAGGTCACTGTTAGGATTAAACTAAAAGAATCGTATTCAGTCTCGATTTCGAAAGCTATTTCATTTTAGACCCGATTATTTTACGCTAGCATGGTAGTTTAAGTTTCAGTCAATGGCCTTGGAGTTCATATCGGAACGTTTCAGTTAGAGTTCAAATGATTACGGTTGCATTCTGACCTTTTGACAATCTTTTTACATAAATTCCCATCAGTCATTGCAATCGAGAGGTCAAGGATTGTTAAATAATAATTGCGTTGCGTGGACAATACCAGTTTATTTTTTTAATTCAGGCACATTGAGTTGTTCGTATTTCGGAAATGCAAAGACTCTACTTGGAGATAACCTAGTTTTCAATCTTCAATATTTAACACCCCTGGTGTGCGATAGACTTACCTCCACATGGTGCAACCTTGACAACGTATACTCATACGGCAAAAAGTCTATTATTCGGTAGTTGACTTCTCACTTCAAACTACCATGACCCCACTGTATGTCATATTCGACTACTTCCACAGTACTCACCTCACCGTTTTTCTACTTTTGTCTTTGAAACACTCTTCTTTCCCCCCCCCCCTCTCGAATTTCTTCCACTTTGATGCTCCTTCCCCTCTGTGAAGCCTGAAGTCAACTAACGGGCCAGTGATAACCATTAAAACGCCTGCCATTTGATATAAATAAATAATTTATGGTTATGGGGGCCATTATAATGATGCCACAAAGTTATTTTATAAATAAATAAATATTTAATACCCACTTTACTTAAGCCGTAACGTAACCTGGCTAGTAACGTGTAGACAAGGTTAGTAAAGACCCATTTCGGGCAGCACAACTCATTCAATGTACTTGCAATTAATGGCAGCCTAATTAAATCTGTGTATCTGAGTGCAGGAATAAAAGGTGCGGCAACATACTAATGATTGGAACTCAGCCATCCTTGCAACTGGTGTCAAATGTGCCACAGATTAAATGCAAAGATGTCGAGAGTAGAGTACACTCGAGCACCCAATGGGGGCAAAACAATGTGAATTGGCCAACCCTGACACAAATTTTAGCTTCTGAGGTCTTTATTTATGTGCGCCGATGTCTTGATGAGGGGTGCGCGATAGACTTACCTCCACGTGGTGCATCCTGGACAACGTATACTCATACGGCAAAAAAGTCTATTAATCGGCAGTTGACTTCTCACCTCAAACTATCATCACCCCCACTGTATGTCATATCGGACCACTTTCACAGTACTACCACTAGACATCTTACCCTTTCTGAGCCTTTGTGTCTGTTTCTTTTACATCTTTGAAACACCCTTCTATTCCCCCTCCCTTCTTTAATCTTACCCTTTCTGAGCCTTTGTGTCTGTTTCTTTTACCCTGCTTACCCTTTCTGAGCCTCTGTGTCTGTCTGCTTCTTTTACATCTGTGAATCACTCTTCTCTATTCCCCCTCCTGAATTCTTCTCATTTTGATGTTCCTCCTCTCCTCTGTGAAGCCCGAAGTCAATTAAAGGGCTAATGATAGGTCTCTGTGAAGCCCGAAGTCAACTAAAGGGCTAATGATAACAGTCAAAACTCCTGCCATTTGTTATAAATATAAACAAGTGTCTTGATGATGAAATTGCACCATCACTAGCCTACTGGTTTTCACAATTCAGTTTCAACTAAGATGATAGAAACTCAATGGTGAAGTGAAAACAGCAATATTCATAACTTTACCGCTGCTTAGTAGTTAATTTGTGGATTGCTCTTTTCACAATTAAGAACGTTTGATAGTAATGACCACAACGTAATTTTTAAAATTGTAATCAAATTTATATCAAATGTCTTTCAACAAGGTAGAACCAAAGCTCCATTTTTCGTCTCCATATTTAGATCATCAAACAGGATATAAATCAAAGAGTAGTTGAGCCTTCGGTGATGTTGGGTGAGCGGGTTGAAGAAAGAGGCGAAAACTTGTCAGTAAATAAACGGTTAAATCCGACGCTAAGGCCGCTCATATTTAACCCGATATCCCGAGGGGGACAGGGTGGGGTGGACGATACGGCGGGGGGGGGGGGGGGGGGGGGGTAANGGGGGGGGGAGGGGGTAGGAGTTAACTCTCAGGTCGCATAGTCGCTGCGTTGACATTTGTCCAGGCCTTTGCGCTTGACAATCTACTGGTATTATTCCAACAGTTAGGGCAGTTAATATAAGCAGCATGTGTTGACAGCAATGACCTGGCATGGAAATCCAGGTGAGGACGGAGATGAAACGATAGCCATACATTATTTATTTATACCAAATGGCAGGCGTCTTGATGGTTATCATTAGCCCTTTAGTTGACTTCAGGCTTCACAGGGGGGGGGGGGACAGAAGAGTGTTTCAAAGATGTAAAAGAGACAGACATAAAGGTAGAAAAAAGGTGAGGTGGGTACTGTGGAAGTAGTCGAATATGACATACAGTGGGGGTGATGATTGTTTGAAGTGAGAAGTCAACTGCCGATTAATAGACTTTTTTGCCGTATGAATATACGTTGCCCAGGGTGCACCACGTGGAGGTAAGTCTATCGCACACCCCTAATGAATACATATTTAATGATAAAAAAACACAAGATCTGTTGGAACGTAATTGAGGTGATCAAGATTGACAAACAGATAGGTATAAAAAACTGGGGTTTGTCAATCAGATCAAAGTTACGATATGCCTCTCTCCCTCTCTCTATCGGTCACACAGACATACATTTCAAAAATTATCGTCATTGCCCTTCATTTTGTCTTTAGCAAATGAAAAAATCCAACTAATCCAAAAAGATCCTACACCCAGACTAACGTTGTTTACTTCAAGTATTTAAAATGAACTGGAATTTGGCTTGTTCCATTTGAACGAACTAATGGAGGGGAGGGGCTGGTAGTCAGTTGAAGATATATAACCAAAAGGGTACACTGACCCTATACACAATGTTTCTGGCGGTGCTTGTTTAAATAAAAGTTGCATGGGTGCGGTTCACTTAAACTTTCTCTCTGGCCATCTTGTTAGCCATAGTAACCTTGACTGGAATTATTTGCTAATATTGCGATAAACATCATGTCTATGAATTGACCAACTGTCGGGCAGCTATTTCTCTAATCAGTCCTGCAATTGTACATTTATTTATCGGGTCGGCTTAATTGAGGTGTGCCAGGGTTGTGCATTCGGGTTGAGAAAGTTCCGTTGGTGGTATCAGGAAATGAAATGTCTTAAGAAAGTACCGACAACTCGCAGGAACTAGATACAACTGTCTTTCTAAATAAATTGAAAATTCGCTACGGTTGATTGCAAGCTTGGATTGTTGGGAAATATCGATTTTTTTGCTCACTGGTGTATCAAATAGGCCGAAAAGGAGAAGCATTGATGGGGAAAAAATATATAATCTGGGAAAAAATATTGAACATGGTCTTTCAACGCCCCCTGGTAGCGCAAATCCAATTTGAAATTAGGGTGAAGGGAAAGGTCGATGGGATACCCTTGATAGAAAAGGACAAAGAGGGAGAGAGAGAGAGAAGAAGAGGATAAGAAAAAATTACAGCTCAATAAGCCTCAGCCAAATAATCGAAAAAATCGATGAACAGTTTAACTTCTGGGGGTTGAGCTATGAGCTAAATCGATTGTAGTATTTGACTAAAAGACCTTAGCCGTATTAGGATAACTATTAAGTACAGGGAAAGGCTAAAACAACAAATCTTTGTCAAATAGAGCAATTTAGTTTGATCTGAAGGCAATAGTTACATAAAAGCACCAATGTAAGCAAGCATCTCATTAAAATCGAGATTCAGCTTGATTAATGACGGTATATTGTGAAAACTAATCGATTAAAGAAAACGCAATGTGAGAATAGGATTCTAATACATATATTTGTAAGTGCGGAGAGTGTGATAGACTTACCTCCACGTGGAACATCCTGGGCAACGTATACTCATACGACAAAAAAGTCTATTAACCAGTAGTTGACTTCTGACTTCAAACTATCATGACTCCACTGTATGTCATATTCGACCCCTTCCGCAGTATTCATCTTACCCTTTCTGACTCCTTGTGTCTGTCTGTCTCTTTTACATCTGTGAATAATTATTCTGTCCCCCCTCGCTACTTTTTGTCACTTTGATGTTCCTCCTCCTCTCGGTGAAGCCCAAAATCAGCTAAGGGGCTAATGATAACTATCAAAACGCCTACCATTTGAAATAAATAAATATTTATAAGTACTGATGTCATAAGACCGTGTTTCGGAAAATTACCAAGTTGACGCCAAATTCCTTCTCTAGAACTAACTTTAGAACCATGCTAGACTGGGTCTAGATCTTCTTAACGAACAATTACCAACTCCAAAGACATATAGAACAAAGACAGCCCCCTCCCTCCTTGAAACGAGAAGACCAAGAGTTAAATATGAGCACTGAAGGAATGTGGGAGAAAGGTGTAACGCAAGGGGAAGGAGAGGAGATTGGGAAAATCATCTAAGAGCGATTGGAAATTGAGATGTGGAAAGAGACTGCATGAGTATACCCTGATACTAATCGATAGCTTTACATTCTCTATTGGATGGAATGCTGCTCCATTCTTAACTGAACTAAGTATAAGTTTAATGATCTTGAACTTATAAATACTCCCAGTTGCTGGTCGAGAAATTGGAGAGCAGTCATTTTTGCTTAAAAAGCATTTCAAGGTCAGAGCCTCATAAAAAACTGCACACTCAGTGCCACTCTGCCTTTATATCCAGGGCCACATTGTGGACAAAACCGATACATAATTTATGCCACTTTTAAACATACTATAGTCATTTGTCTTGGTGCGTATTTCACGATTATATCGACATTCGTTTTTGCGGCTGACTAATATAAAATAGGCTATTGGTAACACTGCTTACTTCGGAAAGCTTTGTAAACACTCGATCGACCTGTTTAGGTAGGAGATCTATCCTTTGACTGAAATAGGAAATCGTTAAATGCATCATATGCAGGCCCATTTTGAGCCTAGAGCATTTGTGTTAATAAATTTGATTCTAATAATAAAAAGCGCTGCCTTTATTATAACAAAAGTGATTATGACACTGATGGGCTTCTGACAATGTCAAGCCCATATTTGAGAGCTTAATCTTTGTCTGGGGCTAAAGGGTGGTGGGTTGCTTGCAAGTGGTCTGTGTTCCTTACCAAGACATTTCTCGTGGCAGTTTGCTGGTTATGCAGGCCTAAAATCGTTACCAGTTCGTCGAGGTTTAGAACTCCCAACATCAATTCCCTACAATACTTCACTCGACTGGTGAATGTCTTGGTTCAACCGAGAGCTTTCTTAACCTTCTCTCACCTTCTTTCCTTTGTCTGAATCAAAGGTAGTTTGGAGATATCTACTATGGAGGATTAGATCTACTTTGCAAAAGCAGTATCTATTTACTCAAACTGAAACTGCGTAAGGCAGTAAAGAGGACAGGTTAACATTTTGATGGGACTGGTTTTTTCAACTAAAGTGGTAAGATTAGCAGAATTTTCTGCTTGATTATTTCTTTTCGATAGTTAACATCTAGAAAATTCCGTATTTCTAAGCTTACTGAATTCCACCAACATATGCCCACTTATGGTTTTATTTCAACCAGAAGTGTCATGTGCGATTCCCGTTTGATTAGATTTTCCCCTAACGCATTTTTTTAGGGCGGGACTGTTGAGAAGAAAAATTCAACCACCTCTAAAAATAGACGCAACAATTAACTTCCTACTCTTGTATTCATGTTAGATGATAAGGGGTGGGTAATAGACTTACCTCCACGTGGAGCACCCTGGGCAACGTATACTCAAATGGCAAAAAGTCTATTGATCGGCAGTTGACTTCTCACTTCAAACTACCATCACCTCACTCTATGCCATATTCGACTATTTCACAGTACTCACCTCACCTATTTTCTACCTTTTCTATCTTTGTCTTTGAAACACTCTTCTGTTCCCTCCCCCCCTCTCGACTTTTTTCCCTTCGATGTTCCTCCTCCCCTTTGTGAAGCCCGAAGTCAACTAAAGGGTTAATGATAACCATCAAAACGCCTGCCATTTGACGATAAACCAACTTCCTCCAGACCGCCAATCAAAGTGAGTCACGGTGTTAACAGCGTTTTGTTATTCATTTACTGAAGTGACCCCAAAAATTGAATAAAGAGCTAATTGGCCGACTCTCCGTGGCCAAAAGTTTGATTACAAATTGTGAGCCCCAGTTTACTTGATATCTGAAATGATTATCGCTTAAACAAAACAGGATACACCATTGGCGACATTAATTATCAACAACAGAGTTAATTAGAACGATTGGCGTCCTTAAGACGACAATCCATGGAGATTCCGGACTCTAATCGATATTGATTAAATAAGTATTTGCTATAAATTTCTCCCTTACCAAAGTAGGAAACAAATGTATTTTATTAATGCTTACAAAAGATCCCCCTTTTACGATCGAATTAACAAAAAGAAGGAGTATCAGTTTTAAAATAGTTTAATTGAACTGCACATAATAAGATGAGAGGGGGGGGGGGCGAGGAAGAGGAGGAAGTTGATTGTCGAAACATAATCCTAATGAAATAGGCAGAGAAAGAGAGAGAATAGAAAAAACCGACGATTTAAGTAGAGAATTGCACAGCATTTAGGAAAGAGGTTTGGAGATGATATCATTGCGTCCCTGACCCACACCAATCCATCGAATATGGAAACCACAAAGCTTCTCCACCATTTCAATGTACTTGCGACAGTTCTCTGGAAGATCGACATAGCTTTTGATTCCTGTGGTTTTAGACTTCCAACCGGGCATCACTTCATAGACAACTTCAACGCGAGACAGTTGAGAGATATCAGAGGGGAAGAACTGCAAAATCTCACCAGTTTTGGGGTCAATGTAGTCCTTAGCAATCTTCAACTAAAAACGGAAAAAGGAAGTGTTAGCCATAAAAGCGAAAAGAAGTTTTCGATCATACCTCATCAAAATCATCCAAAACATCAAGTTTAGTGAGAGCGATTGAGGTGAAGTTGTTAATCATATGAGCGTAACGAAGAACCACGGTATCTAACCAACCAACACGGCGTTTACGTCCAGTAGTCACACCGTACTCCTGGCCGGTATTCTGAAGTTTTTCAGCCAATTCACCAGTAAGTTCAGTTGGAAACGCACCGGAACCGACTCGGGTTGTATAAGCTATAAGGGTAAGCAATTAAAAAAATACAACAATAGACATCAATAAGAGGACCAGAAGTAGATAGTTTACCTTTAGCAACACCGAAAACACTTCCGATACGGGATGGAGGAAGACCCAATCCGGTACAAACACCACCGACAGAGCAATTTGATGAAGTGACATAGGGATAGGTACCGAAATCAATATCTAGCATGGTAGATTGGGCACACTCAACCAGGATATGATGAGTATCCTGAGTAGCGAATTTATTGACCAAGAAGGCAACATTCCTGACCATAGGCTTCAAACGATCGCGGTAGCTAGCAATTTTCTGGAAAAAGCAACTTATTAGAAATTTGGTGTAAATACGAGAAAAAAGGCCATGTAAACACACTTCAAGTGATGCCTTAGTGTCGAAGGCCAGGTTGGGGTAGTGAGTTTTGTAGAAATCAACAAGGGCTTCGAAGCGTTCACAGAAGACATTCCATTCACCAACAAGGTCTGCAATGCGTAGACCACGTCGGGCAACTTTGCAGGCATAAGTCGGACCAATACCACGTTTAGTGGTGCCAATCACATATCGACCCCTTGCCTGTTCCTCCAGTTCATCAACAAGAATATGAAGATCAAAGACAATGTGCGCACTATCAGAAATACGAACACGGCCTTCGATATCAGGAATACCTAGCTTAGCCAAATCATCAATTTCCTAGAATGAAGTAAAAAATAATGACAGAAGCCCAACCTTAAACAGGTTTTCTAAGTTGATAACAACTCCATTACCAACGATACACATAGTATTAGGATGAAGAATACCACAGGGAATAAGGTGGAAGAAGTACTTCTTATTATCAACAACAACGGTATGTCCTAAAAGATGAAATAATTAAATGCACAATAAACGAACCGGCATTGTTGCCACCTTGGCATCTGCAAACAACATCACAACGGGCAGATAGCATATCGACGATTTTGCCCTTTCCTTCATCTCCCCATTGAGCGCCAACAACTACTGAAACACCGGCCATTGAGAACGCACGAAAAGTAATGAAGCATACAGTTTACAAAGAGAAGAGCTTGGCTTGTTGTATTTGGAATGACCTCAAAGTAACTAATGGGAAAAAATAATTTTTTACTTAATTTAATTATAAATAAAAGAAAATATTATTAACATTATTACAAATTATTATTTGTTTAACTTTATCTTACAAACACCCAAATATTTGAAAGCATTTCTAACTTAAATTCGTTATCGTGTTCGGCGATGTAGTGCGCATGTGCATCGCACATTATGGAAAGTCTTCTAACAAGACTTGTAACCTATAAGTTCATGGATGGCTCGAGTATGGTTACCAACTTTATAAATCAGCCCATCGGAAAATTATTGTTCTCTGTACTGCTTTTCACTTCAATTATTGCATCATCGCTTTATATTTTGCGTCGTGCATTATTTCAGGATGCGGTCACATACTCTAAAGGCAGCAAATTTTCAAGATCTAATCCACATGAACTGATTAACTTATGGATTAATCAAAATAATCGTTTCTGCGTGAACTTTTTGAACATATGCGTGGCGTTTATGAACTCACACAGTGACAAGATAAAAGTAAAACCATATTTTGTTCTATATCTTTTTAAGGTTCCAAATGGGTTCACACGTATTTATCTCTTACCTCATGTATCCAGTCCGTTAATGTATTCCCAGATGAAATCGCCTACTGTATCAGCTAATGTTATGGTAATCTTTTTATAGACGCACTTTTACTTGTTATTTTAGACCATACCTGTTCTTATAATGGCAAATCGTCTTTCATTTTCTTGTCAGCGACAAGTGAATCAAAGGCCTTCTCATATCAAATTTTCAATTAGTAATTTTTCACTCGAGGTTAGTAAACACTTCTTATTCATTTACTATTTCTTTTAGGTTATTCTCAATTTGTCTTTCAATCAAACTCGATTAATCACACTCCATGGTATCAGTTCTCATCCTCAATTTTCGCTATCAATCGAATCTACGGATCCTGTAAGAGTTGTACACAAATTTTTATCTCTTAAGCTTGAGAACGTGAAACAGGATCTAGTGAGTACTATCGAAGGAATTGTTGAGAATCTGCCATTCATTTGGCAGAATGCTGACACTTTGTTAAAGAATGAAGGTCTTTATAATGTACCACCTGAATGTATTGAACCGATTTCAAATTTGGTATGTTATGTTTATGAAATTGATTGTGAAATTTTTACTAAGGAATCGAAAGTCATCAATGGAAACACTGTGGAGTTACAAAATGGCTACAAAACAGAAACGGATGAGAAATCTTCCTCCGATCTTGATGTCAAGTCCCTGGATTCATTCCTCGATGCTTGTAGTGTAGTGGGATTTCAATTAAACAACGGTGATATTAATAACGCTACCACAACATTTACTACCTCTGTACCTTTAAGTGATTCAGCAGAGGTTTTGCCCGAACCGGTTGTTCTAGCTCACAATCCAAGTTTAAAAAAGAAAATGAAAGACAGTATACGCCGAGAAAGATGGCATCAGAGATCAGCGTCGGACTTTAATCTTAATAAGGATACATTGCCAACTGAACTAACTTTTGATGATGGTGAACCAGTGCCTCTTGACCCAATCGTTCACCCTCCAGAAGGACAGAAGATCACTTCTGAAGGTTATCAACAATCAGAAAGTAGACCCATATCGCATCAACGTGCGCTCAAAAAGGTAACTGATGTTTCTCCTCTTCATGAACGAGTTGTGCCAAATTTGGCCTCTAAGAACCTCCTTGTAAAGGTGGTTAAGGCTGATTTTATTGAACTCAAAAGTAAGTTAAATTCTTCCGTCGATCTCTTAGCACATAGATTTGCCAGTTTATATTGCCCAATTTTGACTAGGTTCCTCCGATGCATACTGCGTTGTCGAATTAGATGAACCATATCAACGGCATGCTACCCATGTCGTGCCTCCCTCTGAACAGTTATTCTGGGATCAACATCTCCTCTTGTATGCCAATTTGGTGAACTCTCAGGCTATTGACAATTTGCTTTTGGTATAACGAGTATTTTTTTTGTATTTTAGCGGACTCAATAGCAATTCAAAACGGGCTGCTTTCGAAATCTTTGAGTTAAATAAACGTCGAAGTACGTAAATCTTTAGTAAATTTTCCTTTTTTACATCAATTGATTTCTTATTATTTTTTTAATAAAACTTCATTAGCCCCTTGTCATCGATAAATGCCTTGTTAAATTTCTGATAGGTTTTCATTCCCTCACCTTGATGTTAAACATTATCTAGTTTTTAAATTCACCCCTCTCAATTCCTTTATTAGATATCGATTTACGTTTATTGTATTCTATTGAATTATATTATTTCATTAATACTTTCGATTAGAAGGATATCATCACTGAGTCTTTCGAGTTTTTTTCAATGAATCTTTTCTTCCTTATTTATTTGATCTATTTGGGCAATATTTCATTTACTGAGGTGAAAGTAATGCGAAGTCTGGAGTTATCATTCATGCAACCACGGACCTATTTGCGACGGGTGTCCTTAAAACCTTCACATTAGTACATTTTCTTACCTCCCAAGGCAATTGTTGGGCTTTAAGGGGAGAGGGGGGGGGGAGGAGGAGGGCGTGGGTATTTGGATTCATTGCTATTTTTGAAATCCCCTCCGCTCACGTACGTTTTATAGTGCATTTGAATTGAAAAAAAGGTGGGCAAAAATTACGAGCCTTGTCAATCTCTTGCCTCCCAACACAGTCACCATTCGCGAATTGTTGTCAGGATAGTCACACACACTTGTTATGATGCTTTTTGATGCCCTAACGAAGCGCTGTCGTTATTAATGTTTTCGTGTGATGTCCTTCTAATGATCCACAGGGTCAGAAGGAATTTATATTTTGCCTCCACTAGGGGTTTCCGTTACTTCTACCCATACGTTCAGTTAAGTACTCGCGTATCTTAATGAAGTTGTTTTAAAACTGGATAATTGTAATTGGTAGCATGAAGCTAATGCATAATTATTTTCGCGGATTAAAATTAGGTTTGCGCCGACTTTAATCTTAATCGGTTTGCGCCTTATTTTCAAATCTTTTCTATGAGATGATGGCGATTACTGAGTCCTTCTCACATGTTAAAAGTTTTCCGGTAGGGATACTTAATGGAAGGAATGCATATAGGAAATTAATTATTCAAATGTGGGTGGAGGGGGGAGGGATAATATTCGACAAAAGGCAAATTAAGAGTTTTAGTTTTAGTTTTCAATCCTGGAGATACCGCGTTGTTCGCGTTCTCATAACGTCTTACCGTTAAGACTGTGACCCCATACCTCTAGGTCTGGTTGACTAAGTCACTTCCGTTCACTTGTTTTTTTCTTTCAATCGGGAGTTGGTTTACTAAGCTTTCTTCAAAGTCAGTGAAATAATTTGATTTTTTAAGCGCTTGGTCCGTTATTATTATTATTATTATCATTATTAACAATGAGTTCTTTGTGCTTTATTTTACAAGAGAGTGTTGGCATTATTGAATTTCGGGTTAAATTGTCATGCTTAGCGATCCCACCGATTTCGTATACGTGCGCCTGCCCATATTATCTCCGATATATATATTTTTATCTTACGTCGTCATCGCATTCAACCTCATCAGCATTATCACTGTTGAACACCCGTACCCCAACCCCCCCCCCCCTCCCCCATTTGGTGCCTTACCCACGTACACGTGGCAATGTGTGTACCAATAGGTGCTCGCAACTGCACCCAGTTGCCTTTCCTACTGGTCCTTCCATATCTATACGCGCGCCCACCTCTCATCTCCCCTCCCCCCTTGACTTTATTGATTTCTCGATAGTAGGTCTGCTACAGCACGCAGTTTGCACAATCTAGCGAGTAGCTTACAGCATTCCCTGTGCACCGTTTGGCCATATTTCCTAGCAGAAGGCAATGCACGGCGGATTTGTGTAAGTGGGTGGTTAGTTGGGAAGGTCTGGCTGGGTTAATCCTGTACCAAGCGCACAGTGGCATGCACCACTGAATGAATTTTGCTTGTGCTGTGCGTGTGCGATGTGTGTGTGTGTGTGTGTGCGTGTGGGATAGGGAGGGTAGCTATTTTTCACGTGTTTTAGTTCCTGTTGAACCCTGGAGGTGTCCCTTGATTTGTTGAGCCCCGCGCACACATTGACTGTTCCGTTCGAGGGAGGGGGGGGGGGGCATTTTGAATTAAAGAAATTAATGTGTTTATTGGGCTTATTACAATCGACTTATTTGGAAGGATGTTTAAGAATAATTTAACGTTATATTTAGAGACGCGTCCCATTTTAAGTTGATGGACCCACAAACGTCTCATACTCGTTTCATTTGTGTGTAATTTATTGCCACGAGTTTACGCGACTTTCTTTTAAATAAATTGGTCATAAATTTGCAGTTCCTGTTTCGATCATGCGCCTGATTCCCTGTCCACACACACACCTGTTGATTGGTGATTGGAAGAACGTTTTTTATTGATTTTTAGAGTGATCTGAACTTTCTTTGATGAGAAGTGCTAGATTATACTTCGATCCCTTGGGTTTGCAAATAAAAACCCTTCCCTTAATAAAATTGCATCTTGGCGGATAAATAAAACATCAAACCAACTTTTTATGGGGCAATTTTTTGCGCTGAAATTGTGGTGTATGCCACAAGTAAGTAAGTAAGTAGAGATCACGAGAGTTACCGTTTTCCTTATTTTGACAGAGGTCTTCATTTTGTGTGTTACTAGTTGACTCGTCTCAAATAAACTTCCATTAGGCTAACCCACAATATATGCTTTATCTTCGGTTAAATTTTATCGCAGAAGAAATGGTCAACCGCACTGTTCAATACTGAAGGAAATGTGGAAGGGGTTCAGTTCTAGCTTTTCTCAACCTGATCTATAGCGAAATGCAAAATTCGCTTTCACCGAAATATGTATATATATATATATATATATATATTTCTAGTGCAGTTGCAATTAGAATTTGACACGGCATTGAGGACTGTTTGGGATGAATGCTGCTGTTGTCTCGTAGTGCAGTGACCTTATCGCGATTGGATACAGATCACCGGGTGAAAAATAGGCGTTTGAACTAGCTTCATAATATCCAACTTGATGCTAATTTCATTGGGAGTCGATATATAAGGAATTCAAAACAAAAATGTTAGCTTAATCATCGGGTTAGTTAAAAGAATATTGTTGAATAAACATGTACCACTGTTGAGAGTCATTTTCTTTTACTGAGAAAATGGTTAAATAAATGAAAAAATGGTCTCGGAAGTTATATATTGAACCATATGGGCTAGTAAGTAATTCAACATGCAGTCTTTTTATCAAATGTGATCGCATTTATTTTCATTGAATATAATTAAAACTAAAATTGAAAGATTTCACTCTTTGTATCCCGTATGCTTTATTTACTTGCGATAAGTAAAATTGCCTTTCCATAATTCAACTTATTTGCCCAATGAGGTTCTTGGGTGGTTTTCGCATAATTTTGGTCGTATCTCGTATACCTAGGAGTTGATGCACCCAGTTATTTAAGGCAAGGGAAGCCTTGACAAAATAGACCATTGGATTTATTTTTTCTTCTCTCTCTCTCTCTCTCTCAGAATCAATTTCGCGAGGTTACGCAGAGGTATACCTACCTGACCTCCTTACCAGCATGGCTGGAGGTTGTTCAAGCGAGCTTCTGCGCTGTATCACCCTGGATCCTAAACAGCACTCCTCTTCCACCTCCGGTATGATGGGAGGTCCCAGTGGGGCTGGTCTCAATAGTGCTGGTGGTGGTGCCTGGGATTTCGTCTCCTCTCCTACCTCATCCCCAATTTCCCTCGCTATTCGGAAGCCCACAGTAACCGCTGAAGTAAGTCTATACAAATTTCCCTTTTGGCCTTAGACTGAGTTATCTTCAAATTTAAAGAAAAAATACGCGACATGATAATTATTGCTCATGGAAGAGTCCTTGATATTTGCGCGTAGATCAGTTTGAAGAGACGGTGTGGAGGAAGTTGGTGTGGGCATGAACTTACTACATTTGCTTCAATGACGAGTTTGAATATGGGATCAATATTTGCATGGCAGATGTTCAAGGGCGGTGATCACAGAGAGGCTAATTATAATAGGGCGTAAGAGTGGTTAATTGAAGTTAAATTATCCTTTTCTCTGTTTGAAATAATTCTGTTTTCTTTTTCGCACTTTTAATAACTTTAACCATTTAATCGTCCCCCCTCCTCTTGGTACTATTACGATTGTTCTCTTAGAAGCTTACAATGACCCATGAAAATAAAATGGCATCCAACAGATCTGATTAAGTCCTTTCCACTTTCATAGCGTTTAGGCGAGGTCACAAATAATCCCTAGAGGGCCAGTAAGGGCATATTGCGCAAAAGGATAGACTCCTCCATTTATAGAAAAAAAAATTATTAATAATAAATTTATTGTAAATGTAGAGAATCTACATGGGGGAAATCGAATTTGCAGGCTTTATAGGAGATTTGCAAAATGATTTATTTATATCAAATGGCAGGCGTTTTGATAGTTATCATTAGCCCTTTAGTTGACTTCAGGTTTCACAGAGGGGAGGAGGAACATCAAAGTGACAAAAGGTTGAGAGGGAAGACATAATAATGATTTACAGACGTAAAAAGGACAGGCAGACACAAAGGCAGAGAAAAGGTAAGATGAGTATTGTTAATGGGGTCGAATTTTCTCAAATAGTCAGGCCTTAGTAGTTTGAAGTGAGAAGTCAACTGCCAGTTAATTGACTTTTTTTTGCCGTATGAATATACGTTGCCCAGGGTGCACCACGTGGAGGTAAGTCTATCGCACACCCCACTTGCAAAATGATAAGATTCAGCCAATGGATTCTCATATCTGTCCTTACTTTCAGACATGCATGCATTCGCTTATTTGCCTTGCACTGCGTAAATGTAATAAATACGTAGTAGGATTGGAAATCACAGACGGGAAACTCGCCTGGTGGAAGTTACGATAACTCAGAGCGAGAACTGCGTTGTCTTTTCTCTCCCCCTCTCTCTCTCTCCCATTTCCTCTATCCTATCTTTAGTCAAAATTGCAATGCCTCCTGAAAATAGCCTCCAGTGTGCGCGTGCGTGTTATTATGTTGAGCTATTTATAGAATGGCCATTCGTTTGGGGCGGGGCGGGAGGGGGGGGGGAATTATGCTTCATCCAAATGCAATCTTAATTGGACGAAAACTTGTAGCAATATTCAGATCACACTTGGAGTGCCTGCTTCTTTTTTTTCAGGTTCATTCACTACTGCGATTAATTGCAAGAGAAGCAAAATATGGTATTCAAATG